TTTCCAGGCAAAATTCATTGCAAAATTGCACATATTATCCGCTCTTTCAAGAATTTAAAATAGAAAATCTAAAATGTAAGCAGTTTGCATATTGTATCTAGATAGATTCACAATAAGGCAATCGTAGATTCACAATACAATTAAGATGTTTTAAATTTACTTTATTATCATTTTCATATGACACATTCATAAATCACAATAAACAGTTGATTTGTTTATTAAGGCACAATCATAATAACATGAAACATAATTATCTCAAATACACGAAAAAGAAATCTAAATAAGTATTATCTATGCTTATCAATACTGATAACTTAAAACAAACACATAAACAATTGATTCTATATAGGTGAAAAGTAAACTTGTTTTCACTGAAGATTCTACATATGACAGTGAATAGATGTAAACAAAAAAGCACCCAAAACCTTGAATTGCTACTTGGATTGCTAATTGAAACCTAATATAATGCACATTTTTTTCTATTAAAAAGATAATATCATACACATAAAAATCAATGACTATACAATTGATTTTTAATAAAATATGATATAATTCTGTTATATAAATAAATACAAGGTGTTTAATTAACACCATTTGTATTAATTCACATTACACTTCATCATTGTCACAAATTATGGCATTTGTAGATATTTCAAATGTCTAAATCTACACCAATGGGTTACTATACTAATTTGACAATTAATTTCATTCAAATAGTCACTCTTCATGTATTCAACGATTTATAATTTCAGATACTTTTATTCCATTCATTTTGTTAAAGCTACCACTATCTCCAGAATTTCACATCAATACTATCATGAACTATACTGAAAAGAGTTGTCTCTAACAAGATAGCTAAAATTCACATCACGTACAATACACAAGAATGTAAAAACAAGCATTATAGAAATAAGTTAGAATACATACACAAAAAACAGTGACTTCAATTTATCAAAATTTTGCTGCAATGGTAAAAAGATATTAGAAAAATATTTTACAAAACAAATTACCATGACAGTAAAATGTCAATCTTTTGAAATAAGTGGCAAAAAATTCACAACACAAAAATGAAAGATTTCAGTAATCTAAGTTTCTCAGCACATAAATCTATAGTTAAAGTTTCAACTTAATGAAATTGGGTGAGATAAAGAGTAGATTTCAGAGTCAGACAATTCATAATATATGAAGAAAATGAAGATGCTGGAAGAGTCAAATAATGCAAGTGGCATATAGCAAATCATGCTCGTCACACTTAGTTCTGAGCAAAAAAGCATAAGGAAGGTTTGTTATTCTCAACAGTAATAAATTAATTTCCCTGTGATAATTTGCACAAATATGAAAAAAGAAAAAAAAATTGATTAAATAAAAAAAAAAGTTTGTTATTAAAATGACTGTCACCCAATTCTACCAATAGGCAAAAGTAAATAATCAGGTAAAAGATGTTGTTTGATAAAAATCAATTTACATAAAATCCATATCCTTACAGTATTGATTTAAATTGCATTGAAAAACAATAAAAACATTTAGCAAGTATATTAAAAAATTACCTTAATGATCATACAAAAATGATTTGATTTACTCCTAGCAACCTGCAGCACCCTATTGCTGCAGTCATAGAACAATCTGCTGTAACAATGCAATGTACTACTACTACTACTACTGTTTCCTTCTGATTTATACCCAGTTTTATTTTAAATAACTTTTTGAGAACTGTTTACCTCACACCATTTTGTAATAAAACAAATTCTTTAGCATTTTCAATGTGGGAATTGCTTGGCAACTACACCAAACCCCCTGTGACATTTTTTCTTACATTGCGTGAAACACCTCGGAAGTATTTGCTTGTGTAAACAGTGGACACTGTGTCACTATCATGGTTCCAAGCATTTCATGAAGAAAACTAAATCCCTGATATTTCCCTAATGGAGTTTTAAAATGCCAGAATATGAATACACTGGAACTAAAATTACCTGACCAGTTTTTCTGTTATCAGCTATGTCCTTACTTTCCCCAATCAGTTTCTGTTTCTTCCTTTTCATCCTTTTCTTTTTTTAGTTGCCCATTTTTTTGCCGACTTGTTTGACTATAAAAGTAAACTCTCTCACCAATAAACCACAATCTTTAGAATAAGAGTTTTTCACAGTATAAATTAGCCTATCAATTGTTATGGGGATAAGAAATGTGCATATTAAAACTAAAGTGCACAAGATTGTCTTCATTAATGATCATGCAACTCATCATCGCAAGTACTTTCGGTAAATATAGGTCAAGATGACAAAGAACTGTAAACTGAAACCTAAAATCTATGATGATTTTTTTTTTTTTTTTTTTTTTTTGGGGGGGGGGGGGGGGGCTGCAGACCGCGAGCTATAGTACGATGATCTTTTGGATACAGAAGTAGTTGTAACAATAGATTGTATCATATGCTGTCCGCAAGAAGGCTGTAACTGTCATTGACGGCTCTTGTGGCCTTCTTGCGGGCAGCAGATGATATCAAAATTTATTTCTGCTCTTTACTTTTGCAAAACTTCTTTCACTAATGAATACTTTTCTGTAGTTAAGTAATCTAGAAATTATTAATATCTTCCTAATCTAAACCATATTATCTTTAGAAATAAAATGCACATAATTATATTTATAACAGCATGTTTCTTTGGTGAAGCTTTAAGTCTTAGTTGGTTGGATTGGACTTCGCAATGACAAGAAATAACAAGAAGATAGAATTGTATACTATTCAAATTGTAATGATAATATTTTGATATACTCTATAACATCATACCTTCTGTTTGGAGCCAGAAGGGCTTTCGCTCTGTGTTAAATTATATGTCCTTCTGGCGCAAAACAGACAATATCATATCAGACTAATGAGGAAATAGAGAAACAATCTACATGATAAAACTTCAATATACACAAACATTATTGACATAGTAAAATACAACAGTATAGGTATACAACTACATAAACCTTGAATATTACTTTGAACATGTTAAGCGTACTGTCATATTCCACTGATTTGTATTAAAATAGGAAATATATCTTCCTGATTACACAGTCATCATTCCATGACAAATTTTGTAAATATTTTTTCTTGCTCATAGTCCTGATATTCTAATACTAATACTAATCCTAATACTACATTGAAGGCCATAAATATATGGCCTTTTCAAGGTTTTTAGAACTGTTTTCATATTATGACTTTGCATGCACTGTTTTTCTTCAGCAGAAATTGTAACTATCTGTTCACTGGCTACATGCAACAACGAAGATGATATACCGGGAAGCCATGCAAAAATCTGAAAAACAAAAATTCTCTTACAAATCTAAATGGCAAATTGTAAAAATGAGAAAAAGCAATTTGTTTGGTTTAGTACAGTAAAGGCACAAACTCTTCTCTAGCCATAAACACTATAACAATATTGTGTCTACTCCAAGTTAAATTACAGGTTTATGGGCTAAAACAAAACAACTATTACGTCTGATCTAATAAAAAAATACCACGATGTCATGTGCCCTGACATCCATGTAAGTTGATCTGGAAAGATCATTTCAAACAGTAAATTGAACAATTTTCCATGTAACTTTCCATAAATTTTCATAAAGATATTGGCACAGATGTTAACAATTCCAAAATCAGAATACAAGACAAACTTTTGAGACGTGATCTTGTTATCCCTAAATGTTGTATTGAGTATTGAAAGCATTTATTATGCCCTATGGGACACAAATTTATGTTGAATGGGCTATCCTGTTAATAGAACAAATACATAATGTTCACATTAAGTTAAGCTACTTAAAGCACAGGCGTAATTTTCATAAAAACCCATGACAAATGCACCGATTATCTTTTATGTCTCTGGACACGCAACCCCCCTCCAAGTAAAACAACACATCAAAAATATGAATCTAATTTTCATACTAAACTGAATGTAAGAACATGGTCACTGCACTTTCCAAACTGCCTTTGTTCCAACAAAGTGCATTAAATTTTTTTATGACATCTTCAGGAAGTGATGTGGGCTGAGGTCTCCATTCATTTATAAGGTTTTTTTCAACTGTGTCATCTAGAATGCCATTAAAGGGATCCGGTAACTTTGTCACAGATTCTGAAACAAAATTCTGGATTTAGCTCATGATGCAATGATGATTATAAACCTTTAGGTCAGTCAGGAACCCCATAACTTTTACAAGCCGATCGCCTGTCTGATGATCAAGATATTTATGATTGGAATTACAAATTTTGAAAACCGTTCGCCTGACGGTTTCATAACACTACAGTCTATTGGGGAAAACGAGTACCCGGTATGGTAAAAGTGGTCACTCAAAGATTTTTACTTTTTTGAGGAACTTCTTGATCATTTTGAAGCACAATTTTTTTAGGGCTTCAATATTACACCATATCACAGACACTGATAACACATGGGGCCGTGTATCTCAGATTTAACATTGTTAAACGATCCCTTTAACGTCAAGAGCGCATATTCACTCAGGTAGTCAACACCCATTGTTCACTTCCCTTTGAAACCAGGACAGCAAGCGTAGGTACGTACTGTTTTAATTGGAGAACGGCATTCTAGATTGAGGTGACCTTCAAAACCGAAGTGGAATCATTCTTGATTCTGGTAGTGGACAGGGGAGACAACATGGCGCATGCTCAGATCGTCAGAAACATGTCCTCATGCCACAGTTCACTTATTGATCGTGATAACCGAAAAAGCCCTTATTGTAACATTCCCAACACTGCAAATTACCTTTAGCAGTCTATTGCACTAAGCTACGATGCTTTCCTAAAATGTCTCTTTTTTGCAATTTTGCACAAGTCAAAACAAAGCGCTCGCAAGCATAACTAAAGAGCATGAAAATAAAATAATCTCCATGCAAAACAAGGCAGTCTCTTTAAATAATTCTCCCTGAGATCTAGTTTTAATCTCTACTTCTTGGAATGCAGTAGTATCTGATTTCTTTGAATTAAGGAAAGGTATTGTCTTGTTACCTTTAAAATATTCCTTAAACAGTCTTATTCATGTAGTAAGTCAATGTGATTTTTACTCACTAAATGGTTTGTTCGCTTTCTTTCCCAATTTTGTAAGCACTATGGTACTTCAACATTACCTCATATCTTGCTTTAGTTAGCCAGATTCTATTCATCCTAAATAGAAACTCCATGATACCCCCTAATGTACTTGTCATTAATGGAACCAAAATAGCAAATAACACAAGTTTTCATGAAAATGTCAATGACTTTGCAAACACTTAATTACACGAAAATAACAAACAGTACATTACATTCCACATACCAGGTATTGCTTGACACTACATACCCTGATTTCTCTCACTTGAGAGACCATCAAAGTGTTATATGAAGAGAGAAGATCTTGAAAGCTTTCACTTCCCAAAATATCTCAACCTACCAGTTATTTAAGCCTTCCTCTCAACAATACTGGCAGATAAAAGATTGCTCTATTCCCTGACCACGTGCTTCGTTTCTGTGTCTTTACATGGACTAACAAGTCTGTCGACATATATTGAAGAAGAAGAAGAGGCCAGCTTAAAATCCGTTGCCATGCACCATCTTGGTACCTCTTATTCTCCATCTTCTGAAGTCCAGTCCCCCTTATCGGCGTCAAGTTGTACCCCAACAATAATTCAGCTGCAATAGTACTCTTAGAATAAATAGACATGTCCTCCTGGCCACTTCCTTGAAGACATCATGAGAAGATGTAAGCCCCTTAGAAGGGTGAAGATGTTGGCCATCCATCTTCAACAGAGTGAAACTGTTTACCCTCAAGCGAGGAAGAAGAAGGTGTTGGCCCCTAGTAGGGAACAGCTGTGATTGGTTTGTACTGGTAATAAGGTGATTTGGTTCCTACCAATACCAACTGCTGTCCTTGGTACACCAATCTGTCCAGATGGAAATGATACACATGCAATATTTTCATTTAATTCAATGATTTTCGGGGTTCCGGAGGTCTATTTTAAGCGACATATCAGTCTTTTTACAGGGGCATGAGGTCTTTTTGGGATACATTAGGGTCTTTTGGGGGGGGGGGTACATGTCTATGCAATAGAACATTCATTTCTTTTTCAGACATTAACACGGTTGAGAGATAAAGAAAGTTGAGGATCCCAGAAAAAAAATACTTATATTGGGCACACCTATTTACAACACTCATTGTAATTACAGGGCCCTCAGGAAGAGCAGTTATATTTCAGCTCCCCTGGGTAAGTAAGACTCTGTTGTCATCATTAATACAGTTTTATACAACACATATACTTTGATGGTAAATATATTATTGTAAAGCTTCTATTACAAAGTAACTCTAAAAATGGGGATAAAATAATGTTCTGAAATCATTTAAGTCACATTTATCAAGTTTATTTCATTTCACTTTTCCCGTCATTGAAAGTGAAAATTGCATGCATCACCAAATCACATATTTTGAAAATTGATGAAAGGACAATTCACATTTATTTTTCCTTCCTAACCTTTCCTGTCATGTCAAATCAATCAAATGTCTTCCAAAGTATGATTCATATTTTCATGTTGCATTTTGCATGCATGGGTTACTGCTAAGGTCAGACAAGTCTTGGTCAAGATTACATGGTTGTGAAAACAACAATTTTTACTAGAAAACTGACATAACATTTCGAAAGCAATCAAGAATGGCCTACTCTTCCCTTTTCAATCTAACCCTCAAGCGACATAGCTTTTGAAGGAATACACACAAGTCACAAGTCATTGAAATGGGTCCTTCACCAAAGTTTTGCCTGTTCTCTGGACCTCTCTCCCTTCCTATCTGAGATGGTTAGATTTCACAGAACAATTAAAACCAGCTAAAAAATTGTCTCTTCATCTAGTATGTAAGTTTTACTACTTGAAGATCATCAGTTCATCAAATTTTGTATAATTTTCATATACAATGTTGTTGCACCCTTAATAAAAGTCTTTGAATATATGCACAATATCAATTAATTTTTAGACTGACCTTAGTACTCCCTTGTGTAAGCCTCTTACTGTGTCTCCATTGTAGATGTATATCCCAAGGCATTTAGCAAGCTTCACTAACACCTTGAAGTCTGTCGCGGAGTCTTGACGATAAAATAATGTATATGCTCCTCTGTGGAAAGAGTAAAAGAAAGAGTTCAATTAGTATTGTATTCTCACACTTTATTCTCATTATCACCTGAGACAGATATCACTCCTTTACTGGTAAAGAGCAGATTTCTTTGATTTACATTCTTGCACCAACAATTTGAAAGATAAGCCATGAAATTGATGTATTTTCTATATTTTTTCTCCAATAACATGTACATGTATGTGATATGAATGTCACTCACTTCAAGGCCATCTTGACCCGTTGGTATACATGCAAATAACTCAGTTAAACATGACCCTGGGTCTATATTCATGTTTAAATAACAAAAGGAAAACTTCAGACTTAAACTTCTTTAAACCCGATTTTGGACAAATTCCTAAATCCAGCCTCAGGTTGAAATGTTAGAATAAGGGCCACTGTCAATCATCGCTTTACTCAGTAATTCAGCATACCGGTATTGATTTTACCTTATATACCTATATTTGACCAACAGGAATGAAATATAATGGCAATTATCATTGTTAACACACTCCTGACTACAAATATGTATTTTGCTATGACAAAGATGTTTACATAATATTGGAAGTGGACCTGCCAAAATCAAAAGCAACAGTACCTTGTCATTACTCCAACAGCTAAATTCAGAACAACATTTACATACAGTATGTATTTCATTTGGAGTTCTGAAAGATATTTCCGACCATGAAAATAATTTTATAGAAAAAATGGAATTACTGGCATTAATTAATGTTTTGAAATGGACATGTACATGCATAGGTGAGGGAAAAAGGGCAATTATTTGCCCTTGCTAACAACCTTGACCAGGTATTTATTCAACTAAGGGTCCAGACTCTTACCTTGTAAACCCTGATAAATCTAACGATGTCTTGCCCAAGGTGTCACAGCCTATCAGCAGATTACGATCCAGGGGTATCCCCTCTTTAACGAGCTGTTTCATATATTTCTCATACTCCACTAGCTTGAGATAAAACACCCTTGATGGTTCAGTCCCAGGATCACTAAGAGGGGAACATTCAGAAAACTTTTTTGTGAAAATGGCTTATCATAGGGAGGCAAGTAATCAGCTTACATTTGAGCTGCATAATAATAATAATAAGAAGATTACACTCCACTCACTATTTTAAGTGAATGAATATGTCATATACTGTGTCATTATCTTAACATTGCATAATTTTCTTTAGAATCCCAATTTTTGGTGAAAATTATGAGTTTGACTAACAATTTCTAGAATCTCATTCAATAGTCAAAGTCTGGTAACAAAATAATAAACAAATCTATCTAAAGTAGTTATCCTTACTTGGTAAATTTGAATTGTCAAATTCTGCATACATATCAATTTTTTTCAAACTATTCTATTCTATGACAAAGTGAAGCACTACTGTGTGAAGTGGATGGTTTCCTACTTCACAATAATGATGTTTATAGTATCATGTTATCATACCTTGTCATCGTTCTATTTGACAGGTACTCTTCTAAGAAAGGTCTGTCTTCGTAGATGCCCGGTTTGAGTGACCTTTTGACCCTTGACACATCAGGTACGATAGATTCTCTATTCTTCCTTTTGTCGTCTTTCAACCATCCCCTCCATGTCTGATCTATGCAGCAGTTTGCCTCGTTCTTCTTCATTTCATTCTTCCACACACTCCTCCTCAGCAACCATCTGGTCAAGGACAAGGGTAAAAAGCAAATTCTTTGTCATCAGGTCAAAGGTTATTTTTGCGAAAAGATAGAATTTGTCTCTGAATATAAATTTCAAGGGTTAGGGGAAAAAAGCATTCCTACAGATACTAAAAAGTAACATATTTTTGGAATACAACAACTATTATCCATAATCTGAATAGTTTTATACATTTCTTGTGTCACAAGTTGGCATTACTACTGTACTCTGTTGACTAGTACAATATGTAGATTATGGAAATATTTTGTATACTTCTCCAATTGGTTGTTACGATGACACAAGATCATATGAGACTATACAAAAATGTATTCAGTTTCACTCAGGAATACTATATTAATTTTCAATCCACCCAGAGATGGCAAGTAAATGCAACATCTAAGGTTAACTTTGATGAATCGTCTGTTTGGAGCCAGAAGGGCATTAACTCTGTGTAGAATGATATTATGTATCGCCCTTCTGGCTTCAAACAACCAATATGTGAATAAAGAGGAGCATATAACAATGAAATTGAAACTACTTGTTTTAGATTGTAAAAGTTTGTATCTGTACCCATATCCTGGGAAGGTATCAGATCTGTACAACAATCCTGTGTCTCCTGATGTATGCTTGAACCCTGTGGATAAAGTGATAGTCAAAATAAAGACACTCAAAATTTGTCAAAATAAAGACTGATATATATCTTCAAATCCAATACTGAGAGGGGGGAACCTTTTCTTAAAACGTTATAATTGGGAGAACATCCCCCCTTCCCAACAGCATAAATCAAAAAATGTCAAAATATAGAGCTGAACTACGGGACTAAACAGAAATGGTTGCAAGATTTATAGATAGGTATACTGGAGTATAACTCTTTGCATTATCTAATTTAAGAAAGACCTCATGGTTCTAGCATACCTTCACATGTATCACTAAAAAACTAGGCACAACATTTCATACCATTTTGACTTTTTTTGACTTTATCCCATAGAATAAGCTTCACATTATCTCTTTGTGGCTGACGTAAGTACTCTAGAAACTCATTTACATGCACCTGAATTTGTCGGTCAATGTCACAAATGTTCATTCCATGCTGACATGATTCGCCAAATCTGTAGTATTATTACAATCAAACTTGTTGGTGGAGATTTAATAAAGGTTCCAATTACTACAAATCTCAATGACAAACATTGCTTAAAGCAAGAGTAGTCCAAACTCAGATGATCTTTCTCGATACATTTAAGTTGTTGCTATAGCAGGTTTGTCAGTTCCATTTCCAAGATCATATGTTTCATCATTATACTCAATCAAGGCTGATAATACTTCTAATAGTAATAAATTGTTTCTTTTATAGCGCTATATCCAATTTAGAACTGATCCAAGTGCTTTACAAAACAAATGAAATAAATCAATGAATTAAAACGTAACAAAAAATTTGATAGAAAAAGTAAAGCAGTTAATTACAAAGTAAAAAGGTGTGTCATTGTCTGCCTGCCAGGAGAGTGGGAACATAATCGTTTCCATGCCATTCGGTTTTTATCATTGAAGCAATAATATCATCAATTATTTAGATGATGTATGTAGGTTGAAATTGAAATGAGCAGATATAGTAACAGAACAGGAATGCAGTTTTCTTGAAATGTACATGCACTGTCTCCACAGCCCTTTCTGCCCACATGCTGGGTATACAGCAATGTCATTATTATCATAGCATCTGCATAAAGCCAGATGGGTCTTAACTCATATACTTTTACTGACTAACTAATCCTGTCGAAAGAATCTGTGTGTAACCGCAAACCTCGCTCAAATCTTTCATCGCCATGGACGCCTTCAGAGATTACATCATATACTTTTGCGCAGAATTAACACCCTTCTGGCTCTCAAGAGATAAGTAGGATTCTGAGAAGATAGTTAAACATACCATGCTCATTCCATGCAGATATAGACAGGATTGTTTCATCTTCCAAGAGGTGCATGGTTTGAGAGAAGTAGCGTAGAAAGTCAGGAGCCACCTCTACATACTCCTCAATGATGAGAAAGTATTCGCTTTTTGGAAAAAGACCCATGGCCTCCTCCATGCCTGCATGCAGGGCATCTGTGACAAACAAAACAAAACAAAAATATCTTGCAGAAGAGTTGTTGAAAAAATGTATAAGGTACCAATTACTCAAAATATTTTGCTCTCTATATTCCCTGTTCCATGCCAGTGTACTTAAAGGTCAGCTCTCTATCTTTACCTACAAACTGCTTGGACCCTGGTTCGAATAATAATTTCTGATTGATACGCTTCTGTAAAAAAACAATTCGACAAGCACATTGCAGCACTTAAAAATGCTATGATTATGTGGATTTTCTTGACAATCTGCCTTCTGGCACCACTTACCCAGTGTGGTCAAGAGTTCTGTGTTAACAGCTTCACTTGAAAAACTTTACTACAAGACAACCCGAAGATACGTTACTTACATAAGTACTGAGATTTAGCCTTGACGTATTGTGTTCTGAAGTTATAGACTCCTACAAGTTCGTTAGGTTGAGCAAAGTTTCCTTCCAGAATGACAACCACAAGATGACTCTGAAGGCCTGGTAGCGCTATCAGAGACTCAAGGGTACGTTGAAGTGCTTCCAGGTCAGATCCTGTATCAGTTAGAGAAGGTTAAAGGTTAGGTCAAGAACTTATGTTATGTCTAAGTGTAACACTAATTAATGTAAAACAAATTTGTGTATTATAACATATGGACAATGAAACTCGAATCTGAAATCTAGAAGTTAGAAAATATTTGGTTAATGATATGAGAAATATCTCAACTGACTGCCTTGAATTAATGATAAAATTCAAGACAGCATAAATTCACCCTTCTAAAACACTGTCCACTTAGAAATGGAGAAAGCTTAGTGTACCAATAAATACATCATTAAATTATTGCTCTTAATCCTCCGAAGAAATTGCTTGAGGCTTGCTTGACATGGAAACAAATGATGGATGCCAAGTATTATCACATCAATTAAGTAAATGTAATAGTTAGTCACCAGAGGTTTCGCACAAATTCTTCATAAAGGGGAGCGTAAATTTGAGAACAGATTGATCAGCAGACAGGCAATTGTTATGTAAACGTACATTGTACGCTTTGAGAGGGCCTTTGGTCCTGAAATGCGCTATAAAAGAACAAACTATTATTATTATTATTATTAATTGTTATTCTTAATCACCCCAAACAAAGTCAATTGTTTGCATAAATAAACAACAGAGAACTGCAAGGGACATACAGTACAAGACGTAGTCAACCTATGTATGCTGTTTTCTTGTACCTGGTACGACTATGATAGGTGTAGAGTAGGCAGGATTCGAAGCCAGGCTCTCGTCATCAAGCTTCAGGGGCATGATGGGACGGTGGATGTTGACTGGTGAGCACATCTCTCGGAAGTTTGGATGGTACTTCTGACAGAACTCTGTCTTTTTCTTGAGTCCCATCACTGTATTGGTTACGGATGATCCGTTGACTGAATAAAACAAATGAGAAATAATTTTCATTATTAAAGGATCATTTGATGTATGCTGTGCGCCAGGAACACTACATAGATTTCTACTGGGGATCCAAAAGATGATTGATGACAGTAAGCCAGTTCATAGTTGCAGTCTGAGCATGAGCAGATAAAGGTCATTGCAGACCAAATGGTGAAATACACGGTGTCTTTTGTGTTAGGGAAAATGATTTTGATTGTCATCACAAATCAAGATTGCATGGGACAAGCACTTATCATTGGTGCTCGCGCAGAAATCTCCCCTAACTGTAAACCTAAACAACCATCTACGCGCAGAGATTGAACAGTGACTGTCATAATTCAGATTTGTTATGGCAATCGACATACTTTCACTAACATGAAACACTTTTCAGAACACCATCCATGATCTGTATTTGGACTTACTGAATTTGGGGATGCACTGCCAGATCTCAGCCTTGATACCCCACCCGTCGTTGAAATCTTCGCTGACCTTCTCATATGGGGTGTGACCGTTGATACCCTTCTGACCAATAAATGCCCACATCTCTCGATAGCCCAGGTCCTGGATCTTCGAAGCTCCAAGGCTCTGTAGCTCACGTTTTGTGTCGTATCCAAGTCTGTACAAAAATGAAGAGAAAGAAATTAACATTACTAACATTACGATCATGCAAGTTCACTACAGTACAAGATAGTTTGCTGAATGGGTCGCCTTACATTATAAAATGTGAGCTACAGAATGAAACAAATGTTGCTGAATTTACAAAACTGAGTTATCATACCCCAAAAGAAAAACCCATTTTTGTCTGTCAAAACTTTTTGCTAATTTGAAAGGGCTAACCTTTTCCAGGCCCAAGAATTTGAGTACTAAAGAATGTAATTGGACCAGGAATGGCTACATTTTTATTCTTGAAATCAAAACATGTACCGTTATTCAGAAAGTCCATTTCTAAGAAAGACAGAGCATCCCAAAACTACTGCTGAAAAAGGGCAACAAATTGTTTTTGTAAAGGTTTACTTTTAAAAGCCTGTTTATGATAATAAATCAATTTGGTGACACAGAATGGGGTTTATAGTAAGCACACTCACTCTTTTGACGCCTCATCAAATGTACCTCCTAACACCATCATTCCTGGACCTACTGATCTCAGAAAGTCTGCACACTTTTTGTCATTGATAGCTAAAAAGATAATAAAGATTATCCACAAAATAATGCTAAATATAAACAAGGCAGTTAAAGACTTTCATCAAAATAATTGGTGGTGGTGACTGTAAACAATAACCTCACTTCACAATTTCATGCTGATGTCATACATTAGATGCCATAATTGTTCTTTTTGAGTATGGGAATATCAATGAAGTTACAGCTCTTTTCCACTGCTTTTGTATTAGAATAAGGGATATTTGAGATAGGCACATTAGGTGAACACTAGAAAACTAAAACTAAAACAGTGTATCACTCTTACTTTCTAATTTCATATAAGAAACATATTCTAAACCAGATGGAAATAATTCTAAATGGTATCTTAGAGATTTGTTTGCGTATTACGGTATATTATTTGTAGGTTTCCTTCAATTAAATACATAAATTCCCCTCCCAAAACCTGTGCATATCTTGAAAAGAAGGCCTGACGAATAAGTAAAGAGCACGAGAAACAATGAAACATTTGTACTAACATGACTCGTATGTATCAAAGCTGCCAGAGCTTACAACCTCTGCAGTTTGTGGGTCTACTACAAGGAAATTCAACCCTCTCTTTGCTGGTCTCACACTGTCAATTTTATGGTCACCCAGCATCCTTTTAGAGAAAAAGAAAAAGAAAAATGAAAAGTTGGGCATGTTATAGCTTAAGCACAGACATATTTATCTATTTTATTCATTCTCTTTGGCTGGATACAAAAATCCAGTCTGTATGCATGTCTTCATAACTTCTACTCTTTTGTCAATCTCTGTCAGTCTTATCTTCTCTTTCTGTCTCTGTCTCTGTCTCTCTGTCTGTCTGTCTGTCTGTGTCTGTCTGTCTCTCTCTCTCTCTCTCTACTTGCCTCTGTATGTGTGTCTGTGTGTCTGCCTGCCTGACTCTCTTTCTCTCCCTCTCTGTCATTAATTCTGTTTCTCTCTCTCTCTCTATATCACAAAATGCTTTGTTCATAAATTAACACGAGCTATTTCTCTACATATATGTAACAATGATTCTCTTTTGTAAATCACCAGTCTTGAATTCAATGACTTTATCAAATTATGATAATTGACTGGAGGAGTACCAGAATTTATTATTGGTGAATTCACTGTATTAATATAATAATAATAATAATAACTTGTACTTATATAGCGCTTTTCATAAGACATTTATATCAAAGCGCTTTACAATATTGATACAAGTAAAACTAAACAGAGTAATGACATGACAACAAATCTAAAGTGAAATTATGAAACATAAGATAACAAGGTAAGGTTACAATTTAAGAACTAGGTTGAATATGCATTTTCCATTAGGTAGGTTTTTAATTTTGATCTAAACAAAGTAATATCAGAGATGGAACGAATGTCAAAGTTACATTATGTGCAGCATCTCTATTATGGGATGTACTAGACACAAACTCCAAATGCAGAATGATCCTTTTCACTGATTGAAATCTACTTACGTCTTGCCATCGAAGCAGAATCTGGGAGATATCTTACTCTTCTTTGCTGAGTGACCCGACTCAATATGAACAGCGACCTCGTTACTCTCACAGACTCGGGGCACCATGCACAGGTTCTGGTATGGCATTCCACCAAAGTTTGATGGTTGTTTCTTTTGACTCACTACAAAAGACAAAATACAATGATTTGAAGAACTTATCTTAAACTTCAGTAAATCACTCCAGTGAATCACTCCATTTTTACCGCTTGTGATTAAAATGCACATTTTGCAATTTTTAATTAGCACTACTTTTTGGAGAGAATTTAATCAGTATTCAAATATTTGGGTAAAATTTACTATACATAATACTACAATATTGTAAGCTAATATGGCAATGTTACTCCATCAAAGTAAATTTACAAGTTGAACAACACTTTGGCAATCAATATCTCTGTCTACCATTCCTCTTTACATACTCATATGAGTGAAAATCACTATTGTCCTCAGGGACCCATTTCACAAAAGCCTATTTCAATGAAAAATGACAAAAATCAGTGACAAATCTGCTAATAACTAATCAGAAGCAAGGATTTCACTAGCTTATAATATAACAAAAACTATCATTTGTCACTGATGACAAGTTTTGTGAAATGGGGCCCTGAAATGACAGGAAGGTTGTACAACACATGCTACAATGGCTCCATGGTCAATATCCTGTGCTAACTGTTTTCTCACCTTCATTTCGGGATCAAACACTTTACGTAACCCTAGACCAAACCTAAAATGAAATTAAAACCCTAACCTTTGTATCTCTCACAAAAAACAAAGCCTATGGCAGCGTTTCATAAAAATATCATAAGTACAAGTTCGCCAACAACCAATTGAAACGCATTGAAACGGGATGTCAGTGAAGTTGTACCCTTGTATTGAAATTGAACCGTTGCATGAAACCATGCCCTGAGCAATTGGTGCAGGAGCATATGTCAGAGCATCAATGGCAATGATAAAACCATTCCAACCCAACCATTCTACTTCCTAACCATTTTTATGCTTTAATCTATTATATTTTTCATTGTAACTTTATATAATTATTTGATAAATTTTTCAATGGAATTTATATTGTGTACCGGTAAATATATTTTTCTTCAAGTGGTGAAATAAATATGAAATGAAATGAAATGTAATACACTCACATGGTATTGAGAAACATCCATTGACGTCTGCTTGGGCGCCCCATTCTTCATTTGCTTTCTTCAACGTATACTGTCAAATCGATAGAGAATACGAATAGAAATTAGCACAGACTTTACATATTTGTGTTTGTGCTGTTTTTTCATGGTTTTGACTTGCAATTTTTTTTTTTACTCTTTCGCCACAAAGGCCGCACCCCGACTTTTTGATATTTTCTCTTCCAAAAATACTGCGGCCTTTACACCGGCAAATACGGTAACTATTCTTCATTACTATTAAAGATTATAATTTATCACAGAAAATGCAAGATAACGATTGAGGAAGATCACGTACCTTTTCATGCTCCCCGTCATGCTCAACATACTTCTGCCCAATGAAAGCCCACATTGAACGATAGCCTAGTAGATGGACCAGTTTACTCCCAAAATGATTCTCAAATATCTTCACCGCTTCTGGTGCTAACCGGTTGGTAGCGTCGTCAAATGTGACTGCCATGATCACATCCCTCGGAGGGACGCCGTCTAGGAATGCTATCAGTTCGGCACTATCTGATGAACGAAAGAGAAGGCATGGAGGAGCATAAGAAAAGGATACAAACAAATAAGAGTAGAAATCAATAAGGATTGACTGATAATCCTTCTGCCCATATCTCGTAAATAACTGAAAACCTGATAGCTTCGCTTACGTGACTGTAAAAATCAATGAGTCCATCTATACGTTTATAATATATTTGATTAAAAATATATATATATATATATATATATATATATATATATTAAAGTAAATATTATTAAATGAACAGAGCCTGAATGACTACTTTAAACTTTAAATTACTAATTCCTTTAAAATAGTAATTCTTTTATCTAATAAAATAGTTTGAAAATCGCACACACCTCCCCCCCCCCCCCAAAAAAAAAGCAGGTCTTGTCCCGAACGAACTTTGACCTTATGAACCCCAAATTAGATCAGATAACCTATAACCAATACTTTTTTTGGAATAAAGTATCCTATAAGATGCTCAATGTCACCAATAAACTGACCTTTTTCAGCGAGATTGGAACAGGGCATTCTTACCAATTCTTGACATCCCTTGCTATACATATTATATTGTCCTGGGCCAGGATACAACCTGCAAAACCCATTACTGAATACACAATGACCCTAGCAGACCTAACAATGTTTTGACTCAACTTTGCTTGACTTTCTCTTTCACGAAATCGAACAATGGTACAAGCCTTTAATGGAGCCGTATGGCACTAAGCATGCAACTAACATACAACTATCAGTAGATTAAAATTTGACATGAATTCACTTGCTTTTCATCTATAAATGGAAGTCATTTTGGAATAATTTAGATGAAATTTTGAAAAACAAGAGAATACTAGTACCGGTATATTACATTATACATGAAGTCTTACATAAATACCAGTAATTATCTAGTGCATCAATAGAATTCTACTCACCTGTCTGGGTAGGAATGAAATAAAGCTACAAAAACATTGTTATCATATTGACAAACTATGCAAGGTTATTATACCACTCAACCCTTCTTAAAAATACATAAGAGCACATTAATAATGAAGTACATGATGATATACAGACAAAGCAAAGTAAATCGATAATAACGATTATATTTGAGAAAGGTATGCTTATAAAATACTGTTTTAATCATTTTACCATGGATGGGAAGAAGCAATAAAAGAGATCACAATGCGCTAACATTTCTATCACGAAAACACTCTGGAATTTGCAGAGATTACTTTGGAGAAAACAATTTATGCTGATGATGATGATACTGCTGATGACGACTTTTATTTAACAAGACATTTTGCTGTTCACTGAGAAATTGCAATTAATTGCAAGTAATATTTGAAGCTCATATTTTGAATACAGTACATCCATATGGAAACTTATACATAAAGAGTAAATAAAATCTATTGATTTTAGTACACTAGTAACTCGTATCCTTCACACAGAGCTAACACCTTTCAGACTCTCAATAGGTAACATATGAGACTGCATAATATACACATATGGCTCAATTTCCTTATCTTTATTTGCTCATTTTTTTCAGTTACAATTATGTTTTCTACCAAAATTGTCTGGTTTACATCATTTGTTTGAGCAATTCAGCCTATTGAGTGTTGTCTAATGTACTATTTAAAAAAAAAATTGTATTTGTAGTCTAGAACATTGTGTTTAAGTTTCATTAGATTTTGTAGGAATTTATTTTCTGCCATTGACAGAACTCAAGATTAACTTAAACAGATAATGCCACAGCTTTGAAATTGCATACAAGTTAAAAACCATTTTTTCTTTATAGCTTTCCCTAAATGCTGCGATTCCTTGGATGTAGGTTGTACCAGTAAGTGCTATATATTGGCTATACACTTCAAGTGTAATACATGTATTGCGGTCGTGTAATTTCCAGTATTAGTGCCACGGCTCTGAGGCTATTTACCTTCCAGATACAAACATATTATGACCCTGTAATTACCAGTTAGTTCTCTGTAGCTTTTTAGCTGCCCCTTACTAACATTGTAGTATCCCTGGTTAGTGTTTTATTGCCTTGTATCCACAGATTAGTGCAATATTAAAGCTGCATAATTTCCCTAGTTAGTGCTCCATAACTATACCATTTGATTAGTGCTTTTTTTCAACTTAAGACTGTGAGTTAGTGCCACAGATCTGTAGCTGTTTATTCCCTGTGTGATGTATACAAATCACATATGAAGTGCACGGAAGGGCTCCTGTTAAAATGATGGATTCTTACACTCGTATTATTTTGATGTGGGATATGATATGGCTACTGCAATATCTCTGTTTGTACATACCTTTATTTGATGCCACTCTCCTGCGGCCACGATGCCGCCTGTGGCCAAATAGCATTAAGCCTACTTTAAACAAGATCAACAAATGCACTTTCAAGATTCAAAACAAATTACATACCTACTGTAGCTGACCGCGCCTGAACTGAATTTTATCCAGTATTAGTACAAATGATGCATGCGCACAGATTCATTACAAGATCTATCCGCACTCAATTTGAGGCTGTATGCATCTATCATACAAATCCGTCAGGTTGAGTATGTTAGGTGCATGAATAAACTTAACAAGGACGGTGAGATGCTGTAATCAACAAATGAAAACATACATCATGTGTACACAACAAAACTCCTAATTTCTTGTTATTTGATGTAAAAAACAATTCACTTCTAGATTTTTGGTGATATTTTTGGCTGACAAATAAACGTGGAGTTTGAGGCTTACTTTAGCGCGCACTTGCCTCTAAACACATCAATAATGCATATTAACCTCTACATGCACTACTTTGCATCGCGTACCTAAAAATACATGTTAATAAGAGCCCCATGCTGTGAAGTACAAGCGATAAGATAAGTGTTTGTAGCTGATCTACACTGGCTTTTTACCAAGGCACTCAAAATACCATCCTGGTTAAAAGCTTGCATCCCATTAGAAGTTACAAGTATCCTTGCGTAGAAAATCGATTACAACTGCAGCAAATAAACCCTGTACAGTATGTTATATAGATTTGGGATAGGTAGACATTTCTGTATTTGGGTCACTTACATGTTTGAAGGATGAGAAATCAGTGGAATTCCTTAAATGAATTGAAAACAAACACTTCACTCATCTGAAGTGTAATATTGATGTTTTTATAAGACCCACTACCACTTACCAGTTATAAGAGACATTACATTCTTGTTTTCTATTCCTCTAACTCTAATATCTCAGTCACACCAACGAGACCGACCCCAGCCCAACTACAGACCAGACAAAAAATAATATTATCCCCAAAAGCCAAAAGACGATTGGTGGGGAGTCGGTTTGGAGTCCGTTTGGCAGTGTGACTGAAGTACTACTATAGTTGATGATGCAAAAAAAAAACTTCTTCAAACATGTGAAATTGGAATGTGGAAGGAATGTGAACTGATGTATGTAAAGCAGGAAGTCATTTTACACCCAGTTCTAGGGCTTGCTTACGAGCTCTAAGTTCTGAGATGTATTCTTGTGCAATCTGATCCATAATTTGAAGCATTTTCAAAGACATTTTATGACTTATATGTCAAAAATAATTTTGATTCAAAATTAATGTTATCCTGTAGCTGATTTTCAAGCTTTGTGTTATGAGGTCCTGGACCGTCAGAAATCTGAAAATTTTACTTTGCTAGGTAAAATACTTGCTCAATCCACCTATTGTATTGAATATGTAATTGAATATTCTGTTTGTAATAGGGCAGATTCACTCCCTCTGAAAACAGGAACAACACCTCTTATGACAGATCGACTTACATTGAATATTTAAAAAGCTTTTGTTTGTTCTAATGGGTAAACTTACACTTCTTATACTGTATTGTTCAAACAGGATATTGATTTAATACCTCGCTCACACCAACAAGACTAACACCAAACTGATCATAAACTGAAGTTTGACGGTGTAACTGAGGTATTGAAATCGTACAGGAAAAAAACATTCACACACAGAAATCAAGGTCTAATTAAAACGAATCTAAGCATCAATAAGTGCAATAACATGAATTAAGAGGGAAATTTCTATGATCATGAAAGAGAGAGATAAATAAACTCTCTGATAAAGTGAAAAACAGGAACATGATGAAAGTTAGAGGATGATAAGTATTGCAAGGCTTGAAACTTAAATATTTGCTGCTGTGGAATTTTTGTTTGCCTGATATGAAAGTTGATTGCCTGAATTCATGCATGATTTTTGTCCTCGAATTCTACCCCCTCTCCACACAAAGTATATACACATTCTCATATGACCATCAATCACCCAATGCTTGAAATTAATGCTCATGTTTACCCTTCTTCACAAATGCTTGGGCAATGAAACCTGCTACTTCTACTCATTGTTCTGACTAAAAGAATGCAATTCATTTTGGTTGCTCCAGACCTCAGGGAACCATTTATGTCAAGTCACATTTATCATATGAAATAGCTTATATCTTACCATGTAAATATGTGTCAAATGACCTTTCCTCTTGACCTTCTTTGTATGTTCTGCAAAGTAAAATATGTGAAGAATGTCACAAGAAATACTCAGGTTCTTTGAATGGAGCAGACATTTCATACAAATCAAAACATTTTAAGAGTTACAGTCAACAAATTTAACATTTTGAAACAAAAGATTACGGTATTGTGCTCTGATGAAGTATAATTTTCAAACAGTCAGCAAAAACTAGATATCCGGTCTTGGCCTTTAAAGGGTGAAAGCAGAAGTGATATATGCTGTGCATATCTTTTAAGGCATACATACAGTATCTGTTTACTTTTCAATGGACCATCACCCTTGGAATTATCCCCATGCATATAATCCATGGACAACTACTGTATTCATTAAGGATAATTCATTTTGAGAATTCTGTTCCCCAGTAAAACAACAACAACAAGGCAACCAGAATATTCTCCTTTCCTTTATATGTGACATTGTATGTCTAATATATAACAGGATGCTTTCAAACATACAATATACTCCTTTAGTTGGAATTCTTCACACTTAAGAAAATGAAATCTGCTCACCATCTATGTGCAATATATTCAGCCCCCTTCCCATTTCAATCTGAGGAAACACTCTGAAAAAGATAGACAAAACAAAATCATATGACAAGTCTATATATGTTCAAGAAATTTAATTCAAATTTCAGATTATAAATATCATCATAAAAACACTGTTATTACAAATTTTATGCTGTAATTACTGTTGCATTTGTAATGTACCTGTGTTGCAGAATACTTGTTAATGTGATAGAAATGGTGTTTAAAATGAAGATGACATTATTACTAAAAAATGATACTATAAAATGCCCAAATATATTTTCATACATATGAAAGGCTGGAATGTTAAAGGGAATACTCATAGAGATTCACAATTTTTCCATGTCAAAATTTCAATTTACAAATAAGCCTTATTAGCAATTTCCAACATATAAAGTCAATGATATTCTTGAAAGATTGTGTTCTGCTCCTTTTGAGAGAGAGATAATTATTGCACATGATATGAAAATGAATGGAAGGTTTATTCAATTTTTGTTATAAATAAATTGAATTAGTTATTATTTTCTGCTGAGAGCCAGAGAGCATTCAGTTATATGCTGTTACACAGTGTAAACCCATTGCCAACTGGAACAAGGTGGCACCTACCTGTATCAAAGCCCATGGGAATGAGATAATTCACTAGAAAATGGGTTAACATATAGTCTTTATGGCTCTCAATAGAAGATTTGTACTCACCCATAGTCATCTTCAAGGCACATCTCAGGTCTGTGTTTGTTCTGAAAACCTGTCTGTATCCTGTAAGCAAACTTGCTGATCGGACAAGGTTCAAAGTTACCACACATAGCCTTGCTTGCCAAGGGAATCTCGGTTTTTTGCATTTCTATAAATAAAACAAAATTTAAAAAAAGTGTTAAACAAAGCATTACGAAAGATCTAATTTAATTTTCCTTAATGAGAAATACAAATATAGCTGCTACAGAATTTTCGTTTGTTTCTCTTGCTTCCCTCCTTTTTTGTTGGGGGGGGGGGGTGCTAAAGAACAGAAGAAATTTACAGGTACCAGTAATATAAATATTGTGGTATTAAATTACATTGTCAGAAAAACCGAATTTTTGTTGTACATTCTAAACTAAATATAATTCTAAATATTAGAAAATGAAGCCCCATTTAATAGCATTTATTATAATGTGGTTTAGGGGGCTCTAAGAACACATTGATGCAGGGACAGGTCAGATATAAAATCCAGTGCCTTGGTACTCCTGTCCCTGTTTTTACTTTTTATTTTTTTAACAGAATTACAGTAATTTGAACAGAGCAAAGAGCTTACCACTTGCACTCCAAGCCAATTTAATCATGTAATGAAATACACCAGCATAGATACAACAACTACAATTTACAAACTATAACATTTTATTTCTTTCTACTAACCTCTCTCCACATGCCCACCCACCCTATGTAACTCCTTCCTGAGATTATGAAGTAGGACTGCCTCATCAATATTGTCCGCCTGCAGACGAGATCCCAGCATAACAATCACGACAGCCAGCAGACCTATCACTGCTAGCTGAAAGCAAACTGAAAAGTACAAAACAATTTCATTATTTCAAGTTGTCATACATGCTCTGATATTTGCCCCCACCACTATTCCTCCAGGTTTTCTTTCGTCAAAGATATAGGTATAAGGTTATGGTTGCGACCGGGTTTCAGATTAGATTTAAGTTTAGGGTGAAGGTTAGAGTTTGGGTTAAGGTTAGTGTTTAGTTCAGGGATGAAGTAAGGAATTCATTTAGTGTAGGCTATTGACTGGGGAGCACTTGTCAGTCACCAAAGCATGTGTAATACAATTGCATCCTCACTGCCATGTAGCAGACCTGCATCGTTATTACACATTGTAATATACTCTGATGAGAATTGTAATTTCATATAAAAATGAATCCATATATATATTAAAGGCCCACTGCACTACTTGTAGCTACTTGTGCCCTCTATATAACAAACAATACCTAATCGGTGACCATTGGTCCCCCATGATCCTCTTTTTCTTATGTTAACTGAGAGTTGAGTTGATGAGATAACCACCTGTCCAGTGACCTTGCAGGGCAGTCTAATCCCTCCTGTAAACTACGGCAGATAAGCTTTAACTAACCTTTCTGGTATTTTGTTTATATTTGACAAATTTGTATGGTTCATCATTTCTAAAATCTTAATATCACTAGCATTATTTTTTGCCCAATGAATACATTTTCCAATAGCTATATTGGAATACAATAGCTGACAAAAAGAAGTAACTTTACTCTTTCAAGATCGTAATCATTAAGTGAAATCACTATGCAATATTCCTATAAGTGTGAATAACATAAACAAAGGTTCTAGGACAATTACCCCCTGGACAATCACACCCCCTCCCCCAAAAAACTACCCCCCTAAAAAATGTAAACTAATATATCATCATGGCAGATTTCCCCTTTAATGAACAGGGGAAAATTTTCATGAGGGGGGGGGGGGTTATTGTCCTTGGGAGTAGTTTTCTGGGGGTGGTTTTCGAGGGGGGGGGGGTGATTGTCCATGAGGTAATTGTCCTGCTCGTAAACAAACTAACACCTTATCAAATTTCCAATCTAAAGAAAACTCAAGAAACGTTGTGGAATCGGCCAAGTCTTGGTAAAGTTACAAGCACTATACACAGTAAGATGTATATGGGACTACACAAACACATGGCATAAAAATCCACCCGATTTTTTATGATGTAACATGCCATATTTAGAATATTAAGGCATTTAAAGACCCATGCTTTTCAGGGTATAATTTTTATCTGATGTTCTTCCACACTCGCATAATCAGTGCTCAAAATACACGGGGGCGGTGGGCGATTCGCCCCCGTGAGCTACATAATCGCCCCCGTCAGGTTGCTCACGGGGGCGATTGCAAAATTAAAAATCGCCCCCGTGGAATTATAAAATAAAGATTATCTTTTCTGTTATAACTTTAACACAATATTGAGTTTCAATTTACAAACCTTAAACCAATGAAATGGAACTTAGATTAGCGTGCAAGATTTCTCGTTCTATGAGTAGGCCTATTATTACCGATTCAGCTCGCAGTGCAGTGCCGCCGTCAGCAGTGGTTATAGGCCTACTGCGCCGTTAGTAACGGTACGTGTGCACGCTGCTTCGCCATCTCTGCTGGAGCTATGGAGGCGATCGCGCAAGGGCAGAAACATGGTCATGGAGAAGTTTTTCGTTGTGAAAGCGTAAACCCGCTGAAATCTGGTGATTTCAAATGACCAGCAAATAATGAACCTCGACCAGTAAATCAATATTATTGACTTTTAGATTTGCACGATGAGAACGTGGACTGCAACGTGTGACCTCCTTTTAAGGCACTGCGGAGGCACTGCCAGTGCTTAAAAGGACGTCACATGTGACTGCCAGTGCCTTAAAAGAACACGTCCACGTCCACGCAAATCTAAAAGTCCCTATTGAGAAGAAGAGGAAGACCAAGATGCCGTGGAATGATATGGGAACATGGGCAGATCTACGGGGGGGGGGGGGGTTAGGGGGTTTAACCCCCTCCCCCGGCCCCAAGCGAAAATATGATGTGCATAGAAAAACGCCATTATGTGTCCAGATCGACCCACACAGTAAGATGTTAGTAGATGCCAGGAAAACAATACGGGGGTTCAAAATAGCAACAACAAAATATCGCCTCGCCGATATGCGGCTCGTGGACGATGCTTCGCATGTAAGTTGATGCCAGGAAAAAAACTCACTTACGAGGGTCCTAAATCAGGGGCGGATCCAGCCGGCGGCAAGAGGGGGGGGGGGCCCAAATCTTGAGAAAATATTTAGCGGCGAATCAGCCAGCCGGCGATCGGCGAATGAGCGGAGGGGGGGGGGGGGCTGGATAAATGCACATAAGTTTAGGGGGGTCCAGTTTTTGGGGAACATTTTTGCGCCGACTCAGCCGGCCGGTGAATATTAAAGTGGGGGGGGGGGGGGATGCTGGAGAGGAGGACCACTATTTTTTTTCAGGGGGGGGGGGGAGGTGAAGCGCCATTTTAGCATGACTTTCTTTTTAACTCTTACTTTCACCTATCTCAGATAACCCTAAGTTTTTGGTTGCTGCTTTATATGTAGTTGATAATGCATGATTAAAATAAAGAGAGAGAGAGAGAGAGAACCACCATCATTTTGCAATGGTTTAGGATTTGTGTAATGTACATTTGAAACCATTTCTTAGCGTCTCAACCCTAAAAAAATAGCGAAACTATCTTTGAGGAAAAGCATTATACTGAACTGAATAAAGAATATTAGCTTTATATTGGCTCATACTAATACTGATACCGGCTAAAGACAATGTGGTATTTGTATAGAGGTATTCCAAAATGACATTCTGATAATCAACATTTTGTTCTGGTATCATTATGTATATACGCATAATACAACTGATCTTTATGATTTGTTAACGTGACATAGCTTCTTCTCCCCATGCAAACAAAAAAGAAAACAAGGTTATTTAATAAAAGGATCATGCGACAAATAATCATTGTGATTCAAATTGTGCAAGGATTTTTTTGAATAAGCAATGCTTTTCACCAGAATCTTCTTTGTAAAAACGGCTTTTACAAATCTCAGCCATGCAATTCTGCCACTGTGTTGTAAGATCACTTTCAGATTAGGAGAAGTGTATTCTTTAATGAGTATTTTACATTGAATGGAACGTCTCAACTCAGTAAGCATGGCTGAGATTTGTAAAAGTTGTTTTACAAAGAAGATTCGGCAGTGCTTATTCAAACAAATATTCGCATCAATTTGAATCACAATCATTATTTGTCGCTTAATCCCTTTTAATGACCTTGTTTTCTTTCTCGTTTGCAAGGGGAGAAGAAGATATGTCACGTTAAAGACATCATAAAGATCAGTGTTGTATGCGTATATATTATATACACAGGCCCCGCGGAACGTTTATCAAAGTGGGGGGGGGGGGGCTAAAGTATTTACGATCAGGTAGAGGGTAGCGAGCGTAAATTGGTGTGGGGGGGGGGCAGGGGTTTTAGGCATTTAATTACGGTCAGAGAAGCACAAATATTTTGATGCCGCATTTGTGTCACTGGCAGGTCAGGGGGCCCGGCGTTTTTTATTTTATTTTTTAAGGTAAAATTTACGTTACTATCCTATTTTTTTACCGGTTTGGGAGGCTAGGGGGGGGGGGGCTGGCCTGTAGAATCGGCCCGTGGATCCGCGCCTGTCCAAAATAGCACACACACAAAATCGCCTCGCCGCTACGCGGCTCAGTAAAGAAAGAATGTAAAGGTTGGTCCCAATAATGAGGAGGAAATAATGTGCAGAACGGGAAGACATCGAGAGAATGTCATCACGGGATGAAAGTCAGTAAACAGCTATGTAGCTTGTAAATTTGTAAGAGGGAAAATGCTGATTAAAATGATAATGATGAAACAGCAAATAATTGAGGAGTATCATAGGTACCAATTCAATGGATATTTGTATAAAAAAGAGCCCCCGTCAGTCCTAAAAGAGCCCCCGTGAGAAGGCTCACGGGGGCTCTTTTTGGGGGGGAAGAGCCCCCGTGGACAAAAAATTAATTTGAGCCCTGCGCATAATACAATGATTTTTTTTACCTCTTCCCATAACTCAACCTTCTCTTTAAACATACTACATATGTGTATGTCCCTTTTGCAGCCAACCTCAAATGCTGTAGAACTTTGCAGGAATTATGAATATGTCATGTACGTCCTATCTGTGAAATTTAAACGTTAGCAGTGTCCGAATTTTCAAATTATACAAGGAAACCCGTTTACTTGCTAGACTTCACTGTCAGACACTATTGAGTGACTGACTGGCTTTTTCCTTCTTTGGTAATAACATACAAAAAATGAGCCGTCTACATCAATAACCCACTTCTTGTAATGGCCAAAATTAAACTGATTGAATCTTTGTGCAGCATAAAACGTACATACATGCGGTACAATGGTCTGAAAAACTTATTGGCTCTATAGCTAATAACCTAAGTCGATTTGACAACTAATAGTCGTTATTTTCTAACTTAAAGACATTTTCAAGCCCCCCTTTTTTAAGGGGAGTTCTAAATTAGTATTATCTTTCAAATGCCGTTGGAAATTAACCTTTTCATTTTTTGGGCCTGCAAATGGGACATAGTACCTTTAGGTGTTATACATTTACTTACAACTGCTTCTCCGGAATCTGCGTAGAAGCCTCATTGTGACATCCCAGTTTCCTGATATCTGTCAAGAAATACGTAGTTTCTTACACCACCAGCACCAAAACTCCAATAAACCTACGAGGGGAAAAGGAGAAGAAAAAAAGCATTTCAGATAAGAAATTGGTCAAGACTCAAGATGTTGGACATTGTAGACAAGTTTGAAGAAGTAGACACTGTCAAGGCAGATCTGATATTTAACATCCAGGACTGCATTTCCTATACAGTCATAAGTACAAGTTCACCAACAATCCATTGAAACATGTGTATTCAAATTAATGGGTGGTTTAATGGATATGGGAATGGCATATGTCAGCTAGGTCAGCGAACTTGAACTTATGACACTGGCCAAACTAGTGCAGAAAGGCTTTAAAAGAATGATCTCTAGTCTCTACAGAGAAAAGGATACATAAGAGTCATAATAGACAGTTAATAAATGAACATAGTCTACGTAGACTAGTTTAGTTGAGGCAACCAGCTAGCTACGTAGGTCAAATTTTCTCACAATTATTTACAATTACGAGCGCGAGCATGACAATACTCAATAGCTTTACTATACAATGTAGTCAATATACAAATACTCAACTTACTTTTCTTTTCAAGCATACAAACTACAAGCACAAACTTCTGTGATGTGAGTCGATCTGCAACATCCCCATGGAAATCAGCCAGCCTTGGCCTGGATCACACACGTACACACTCCACAAAGAGTCGATAATTCAAATGTCAAAATCTATTTTTGGAATAGACTAGGTCTTTTAAATATGTATGTGTAGTGACGGCTGATGATAAGACTTCCGCACCTGCAATACTGACTTCTAGTAAGAATAAACAAGTAGCATATTATGATTTAATATACATTTACATGTCTGGTATGAGCAGCTCGCATCAATCGCTCGGTGACTACTATACCAAGTATATCTATACCATATACCTGGCGCGGCGGGGCGGGCGAGTCCGGCGTACTAGCGTCGCGATCTCATGGAGATCCCCGCGCATGAGTGCTCGCCGAACTAGCAATGTAAATAATGCACTCTTCCGCAAACCTATCAACACAACACAACCACTCTTCAAAGGGGTGTAAGAGTATACACCCCTTCAGTGAGATTTAATGCAGCGTTTTTAACCGGGGTGCGCAAGACATACCGCCAAATATAAGAAACCGGTAAAGTATGTAATTTCGAGGGAATATAGTATTATAAGATAAAAAGGGTATTTTTCCTCGATCATTTCGCTCGCTCGCATAATTCAGGAACAGGATGATTTCAGGCAGCAAAGTGTCTGAATATTATATATGTTGGCCCGAATATCATCGTATTTGACAGCGAAGTAACCGGGGTGGGGGATGGGAGCACTAAACGTGGGGGTGGATGCAGGCTAATTTTTTTGTGCTAAACGTGGGGGGGGGGGGAGGGGGGGGGGCCGGGGGGTATGGATTTTTGTTTTGCCAGGGGAGGAGGCCCTCTGGATCCGAGGCGAGAAAAGAGAGAGAGAGAGAGAGAGAGAGAGAGAGAGAATCAAAGAAAGAGGGATTCCCCGAAGAGAAAGAGCATGATCTCCTACATACTTAACATATGGAAGAAAATAGAAGTAAAATAGATACTGCTTCATTTTGGCGCTTCATTCACATCATAAACTTTTCTCCTCCTGTTTGCCTCTAACACTTCTTCTCGGCACAAACTTATAATCCCCAAACTACATACCCATATATTATACACTCGTTTCTTCTCTTTTACATTTTTATCTCACTTCCGCGTTTAAAATCTCAAATCATACCCCATCAAAGCGACACAGAATGCAATCTCACCCAACCTAAACGTCAGCTGCTATTCTAAACTTTTAATATAAATTGCCAAAGAACGTTGACAACGTATACGCGTAGAGACTTCTTTGGTAATAAAAACTTTGTCGGAAGAAGATCAGCTATATAGGCCCGTATATGCGTCTTATTAGACGCGGCCCGTATAGCCAGAGTTTGATGTTTAGGGGGGGGGGGGGGCAGGGGCGTCGCTAGACCTTTTTCAGTGGGGGGGGGGGGTGTAGAGGCCAACGATTACCGACAAAACTAGCCACCAATTACCGACAAAATTAAATGTCCAATATCTACAAATTCAACCCTATAAATCTGGGGCCAAAGGCTAAATTGTTTTTCCTATGGACTATCTATATATTATGGTACTTGCATATGCGCAAAATGTATATTTTCCTCGACGACGTAAATAAACGAATTATTTCTTCAATTTTGTCAGCATCATAGCTATATATTTTATTGCAGGCGCGGAGCTAGGATCTTATTTTGGAGGGGCTACAGGGATAGTGAGCAAGAGAATCACTTAAAAGCGCTCATTAGGGGGGTTTGGGTGATGGGCCTGCCGCGCGAAGCGCGGAAGCTTAGACGTTTCCTTAAATTATTAGGAAAAGAAGACGATTAATTTTTATTGTACCGTTTTCGACTGGTAATCCTTGGCTGAATGAAGTTTCTCCCCTCCCGCGCGAAGCGCGAAAGCTTTGACGTTTCATTAAATTATTATAAAAAAAGAAGACGATTTGCTGTACCGTTCTCGACTGTTTATCCTTTTCTGAATTCAGTTCCCTCCCCTCCCGCGCAAAGCGCGGAAGCTTTGACGATTCATTAAATTATGAGAAAAAGCAGACGATTCGGTGTACAGACTGTTCTCGACTCTTAATTCTTGTCTGAATGAAGCTTCCCCCTCCCGCGTTTTGACGTATCATTAAATTATTAGAGAAAGACGACGATTCGTCGTACCATTTTTGACTCTTTCGCGCGAAGCGCGAAAGCTTTGACGTTTCCTCATATCATTAGAGAAAGAACACGATTCGTTGTACCGTTTTCGACTCTAAATAAGTCCTATCAATTTTGTCTGAATTCAGTTTCCCCCTCTCACGCGAAACGCGGAATTTTTGACGTTCCATCACAATATAGAGAAAGGAAGACGATACATCGTACCGTTTTCGACTCTTATCAAGCCCTATTTATCTGAATTCAGTTCCCCCTTTCGCGCGAAGCGCGAAAACTTTGACTTTTCCTCAAATTATTAGAGAAAGAACACGATTCGTTGTACCGTTTTCGACTTTTAATAAGCCCTATATTGTCTGAGTTCATTGCAGTTTCCCACTCTCGCGCGAAGCGCGGAAGCTTTGACGTTTCCTTAAATTATTAGAGAAAGAAGACGATTTGTTGTATCGTTCTCGACTCGTCTAAATGAAGTTTCATCACAATATAAAGAAAGGAAAACGATTCGTCGTACCGTTGTTGACTCTTAAACCTTGTTTGAATTTAGTTTCCCCGAAAATTTTAAACCTCTGATTTCTTTAGCTGATATTATAGGACAGTATTGTATTGTAGTTGTAGTCACTCTCGAAGTCGTCACAGCCGGATAAGAAGTCACAGTTCGTAGGGAAAAAAACTTGTCGGCCGACCGACAATAATATACATCCACCGACTTCAAATTTCTGCATTGATAATTATAGTACACGAGGATCGAGCAAGAATACCGACACAGCTGACCCGACACAGCAACATATTTAGCCGTGTCTTTCTTGCTCCCTCGACGAGACGACTCCACCCAACAACCCCCATCTCTCTTTTACTCCTACTCCTCCTCTCTCAGACTCTTACCTCCTCTCTCTCTCCTCTCTTTCATCCCCCGTTTCTTTTGTTTCCCTTTCACATTTCTTTAAAAGAAGAAATTCTTCTTTTTTTCCTTTTCTTTCTTTTCTTTCTTTTCCTTTCTTTCCTTTCTTTTCCTTTCCTTCTTTTCTTTTCCTTTTCTTTTTTTCTTTTCTTTCCCTTTCCCTCTCTTTTTTCCCCGTCTCTTTTTTTCCCCTCCCCCTTTTCTCTTTTTCCCGACGGCAGCGCAATTTTACCGACAATATCCTGACAGGTGGGGGGTGTCGCACCCCCCCACACCCCCCCCCCTTGGGGACGCCACTGGGGGGGGGGCACATGCATGTAATCAATCGACGTCCTGGGGAGGGGTCTAAAAAAGTTCAACCGATCTTGGATTTTTCTTTGGGGGGGGGCACCAGGGGGGGGGGCACGTGCCCCCCCCCCCCCCGGTGCCCCCCCCCCCGTGGCTACGTGCCTGAAGATTAATTCATAAATATCTACTCCTAATTTGTGCTTCAGACCCGTTCAGGAACAGAGTTCACAAATTAATGAAGAAACTCATGGCTGATCGTCGACGAAATGGAATTAAATCTTTTGACAACTCTTTTTGTTGCTAAGGCAGGCAGCCAGTGAAAACGAATTCGTTTAAACAAATTATGGAATGATGCAAGCATTACTTTAAACGAACAGAACTTTGTTATTCCTGGTTCATTTTTCCTGATTGAGGTGTATATGAAAAGGCAGAAAATGAACTTTGTAGAAATGTGATTTTCTCTTTGAAATTCAGATACCGCCCACCAAATGACTTTTTATTTTCCTCTCTTCAAATTGTTCTTAATCGCTCATGCGTGAGATATGCATCATATTAGTTGCTTCAAGTGAGGAGGAGGATCTAAGCTTTACAAATATGTGTCATTTACTGATTATAATTGTGATAAAACATCAATAATTCTCGGTTTCGTTTTTTCTGGGACGCACTGTATAGTTCGAAATTCCATTCTTCAACGCAAATTACGCGCGCGCCGCGTGCTGACTTTAGAAAAGGTCAATAGGTCAATCTCGTGACTGATTCTAATGGAGGCCTATCCTGTCTTGTTTACAAACTGTGTGTAGCACAGCACTGAATTGAGTTTCATTTACTAGTTTCGTTCTTCGGTAATTAATTTTTCTTTGCGCTATTGCGAGCTGTATTTACCTCATTCTGATTAGCTTTCTGAGGTTATTTTGGTACGTTGATCAATTTGCCAAGGTCGGTATTGATTTTATTCTTCTAAAAGTATTTTTAAAAATAAACTTGGCCTTGCCTTGCCCTAGCTTGGACTTGGTGAACTCAATCATGAATGAATGAATGCGAGTGGATGCCAGATATACTGTCTGTACTGATTAAACGAGTGCTGTCTGTGCTGTGCATGACGAGGGAATGGCAGACGCAATGTGACTGGGACTGGGAGCCCTATGCAGTATGCAATGGCTATGATCTAGATCCATTGCCTCTAATTTGATTAGATCTATCCAGAGGAGTCTTTTTTCCGCACGACTTGATCTAGACTATTTGTGTCACAGACTGACAGAGGTTATTTCAACGTCAGTTCTATTTTTTGCCTTTCAAATAGTGAGGCAAAGCAATAAATAATAAAAGTCTAATTCTTGTTTTTTTAAAACCTCTCTCAATATCAACTAGATCTAAGTCAAGACGTCGAAATAACCTCTGCGAAGCATTAGACTAGGGTCTAGTGCCAGTGGTACAGAAAAAATACACGCTATCATAGTATCAGGACGCGTACCAAAAACTGCGTCTGTAGTGTAGAACAATTTTTTTTGTATGCTAAATTTCGGCAAATACTAATGGCCTTGAGCCAAAAACCTAAATTTTGATGTCATATCAAGCGTGAACAAAAATGTCATTGTCAATTTTTGAATTGTGGCTGATAGCAAAAGTTAGCACATCTGCCAATAATAGTAGATCTACATAAAAGCGGAATTAAATACATAAAGCAAGTAGACCCCTAGATCTATTTTGATTTTTTGTGTGCGTGCATACAGATGGCGCTTACATAATTCATTATTCATTAATCTACTAGTCTATTCATTTATAACCATTTAGAAAGAAAAAAAAATTATATATTTTATCCCTCTTTATAATTTTAAACAGGTCCAAACGAACAAAACTAAAATCGTAATCACAAATGTGAATCCCAATGACTGTGGACCATTAGAAACAGGAACCTGGATGTAATCATGGCCAATTCATCAGGGAACACCTCCATTGCTCAAGATCCAGTGGAAAGACTTGCAGCTTTTCTGAGACGGGGCCAGTCTGGTTAGTACAGATGAATACTTACCTTTTTATGCCTCCGTTACAAAGTATCCGGAGGCATTATGTTTTCCGGTTGTCCGTCCGTCCGTGCGTCTGTCCGTACGTCCCGTTCTCGTGATCGCGTTATCTGAAGAACCGATTGATGGATTCCTGCCAACCTTTGGTCATATATGTATCTTGCAGAACCGATGAACTGATTAGATTTTGGGGTCACGAGGTCAAAGGTCAAAGGTCACAGGGCTCATGTATGCAAAAACAGTTCATGATCGCGTTATCTGAAGAACCGATTGATGGATTCCTGCAAAACTTTGGTCATGTATGTATCTTGCAGAGCCAATGAACTGATTAGATTTTGGGGTCACAAGGTCAAATGTCAAAGTTCACAGGGCTCATTATGTATGCAAAAATAGCTTGTGATCGCATTATCATTAGAACAGATTGATGGATTCCTACCAAACTTAGATCATGTATGTATCTTGCAGAGCCAATGAACTGAGTAAATTCTTGGGTTATGAGGTCAAAGGTCAAAAGTCATGGGCTCATTATGTATGCAAAAATAGCTTGTGAACGCATTCTCTTTAGAACTGACAGATGGATTACTTTTTAACTTAGGACATCTTGCAGAGCCAATGAACTGAGTAGATTTTAGGGTCATGAGGTCAAAGATAAAAGGGCCATATATGTATATAAGAAATTGCTTGTAATCATGGTATTCTGAGAACCTGTTAATGGATTACCATTGAACTTAAATTTGAAAAATGTCTTCTGTTTTGGTTTGTAAAATTGCTCTATGACGGAGGCATCATTTTCGATTGCGCGCAGTCGAAGTTCCATCTAGTTTAATGTTTGATGTGCAATATTAATGGTAATAAATCAAAAAGAAAAAAAATCAAATAACTCCTAGTTTTATATAGTTCTGTATGCAGTTGACTTATGCAGAATACATAATTTTTGTGACTGATTAATAGATATTACCTTTATGAACCTCCTGAGAGATGTTGTTCTCATATTGATATGCAAGTGAAATTAGCAAAATTTTCTTTAACTGTCTTCACTGGAAGAATTCTTAATCGCTTATGAATAAAAACAAAGTTACACTGTTGGGTTTCTTAATGATTCATTGTGATTTCCAGCTGAACAGATAAAAGACAAAGTCCTGAAATTTGAATATTTTCTACAATTTAGTCATTGACTTCTATATATTCCTAAGCTTTAAGCGAAATAATAGCGATAATAGCGATTATGATTATTTGTTAACTTTTTCTCTACTCACCCAGTAAATAAATTTGTAGGGATAGGGTTGGAAATTTTTCCACCTTATAACCTTGTGGGTCAAAAACATCTGTTGTTTAGCTCTGCTGCTGATTTTTTTCTACATTACTATGGTGATGTATTTTCTGTTATGCATTATAATCTGATTGGAAATTATGCCATCTCTCCTTCTCTATCTCTCCCCTTTCCCTTTGGACCCTTACCAACTCTCCCTATATTTCTCTCTTTTATCAGTCCTTCGAGCTTGAGCTCTCTTTTCCTTTCTCTTTCTGCTCGTATTTCGATTGTGATGCTGCTCCTATTCTACTTTCATATTCACATTTATATTCATACCTGAATTTATTCATGATGTGATTCATTCAGAATTGTATTTAAAATTCTTGCTATGTACATGTATAAGTCATGTAACTGTATTGTTATGTTTTGTGCTGAAATCCAGAGGACTGTACCTGCTCATAGACTTTTTCTTTGTAGAGTCTTGACACCCTTCTGGCTTTCAGCACATGACATCATGTTTTTGTCTTATATTTTATATATTACATGTTACACCAATGGAAAACAAATTACTGTATTATATTATGGACAATAAAATCTTGAATCTTGAACCTGTTTAGATCATGATATTTTCTTATTTCTAGATATCAAGGTGTTAACAGGAAAGAGCAAGTTGTCCCTGACTACCGTTTACCTATCCATATTGAACCGATGCTTTGCCACAACTCATCCTAATGACTCCTCAACAGAGGTTGTGGAAGGTGGCCAAAAATATGATGCAGAGTCTGTGAAATATCTCAGAGATATTCTCCATAGGACAGTAGGTTTGAAGGTGAGTTTTTTAAAAAGCTGGAGTGTTGAGAAAAATGCAGTGAACAAGTAGGGATTTGCATCCTTTGTCTTTCTCCCTTTTTAAATTTAAAACAAATAAATGTTGTCTCCTTTGTGTGTGTGTGTTTAGGAATTATGTACCACAGTACCGGTAAGCTGTACATATTCCAGTTATGGATAACCTCTTGTTTCTCATATTATCCTAAAAAGCAAAACTAGACATTATTAGGAGCTCTACAGAAATTATCAAGGACCTACTGATTACAGAGATAACCACTGAGCAAATATCTAACTGCTTTCATGTTCTCTCATGTGATGTTTCTTTGCAGTTACTGCACGAGAATGCCACTTTGAAAGGCGCTGTGGACGTATCACGTTTTCATGCTCTAACTGTCTTGGAGGTCAAGCGAGTGCCTGTTCACTTCCTAGTTGGTCTAGGCTCTCTCCGATCACAGCTTAGGGTGCTGATCTGTTCCAGATGTGTCCACTCACTTCAGGTATTGAGTTTGATGATTGTATATCTTTTATTTATAGTAACTTTATAGTAATAATGATAATATCCTAGATTTTATAAAGCACTTAATACATCTGCGGTATTTGTTACCAATCATGTGAAAGAATATGTTTTGACTAATACATGATGATAAAAAATTTGCCGGGAAACCGCCTACTAATTCATATATTTGGTAAATTTGTTTCTCTCATGGTCTGTGAGAGATATAGGGTAGTCCCATATACATCTTTCTGTGTATAGTGCTTGTAACTTTTCGAAGAATGGGCCAAATTTCTTATCATTTTGATGATTCCAGAACCTTGCAGATGCTAGATGCTAGATGATCAACCTTTTCTGATCGATTCCACAACGTTTCTTTCACAATGCAATCGCATGACCATAACTGGTCTTTACCTTCAATGTGACAACTAGAAGCTATATGTATAGTAAAAAATATCTAAGATAAACCAAATGAAACTATATATATAATTTTTTTTAAAATACTGAATATCTTTGATTTGATATCATTTTGATTGTGACACCCAGATGTTGTTGGTAGGATGTGGGGGTGATAAAGCAGAGGAGCAGGATTGGCCTGTATTACACACTCTAAACCTGAGCCATAACTACATAGATGCTCTGGATGAATCACTGGTGAGTACAACTTCCAATAACATACATGCATGCATGATGTAGACATTTTAAACATTTTGTTATTTTATGACAACCTGTATGTGTAGACTGCTCAAGGGAGACAAGAAAAGATAAAGCCGTCTTTATGGGCATGTGGTCTTCATATACAGTTTCTGTTGATACATATGTCAATGAGAAACTCTATTCAAGGGAAACTAATATGTGTGGTCTTTCTACACTAGTGTACACTACAGCAGGTTTGTTTCTACTAGTAAATCAATACAAATGCAAATTAGTTTATAATGTGGCATTCTGCAGTGTATTATGTTCACTTGAATTTCAATGTCAATGTACAAATAAAGTGTTTTATTGCATAAATTGTGGCTCAAATGTTCTGGCATTTAATTTTTTGTATTCATGTCAAGGTTAGTTTGTATATTAGGTACTAGTGTATCACCTATTCAGTGTCGAAAGGACATTTACCATGTGTTGAAGTATATGAGTTACAGTAATGCTCTTCTGGCTCCAAACAGACTATATGAGATATGATTTAGGAGATGAATGAGGTATTTTATGTTGGTTTCTTTTTGATAAAACAAATATTGGTTTTGATTTCTATGATTTATAACTTGTATGTAGCGCTGCGTATATCTCGCTTACTCACGAGTGTGTCTAACTCATGTCTGCCTACTCATCCTCCTTCCTCTGATTTGTAGCGTTTCCTTCCTGCTTTGAAAGCACTGGACTTGAGCCATAATAATATCAGGCATACAAGGGATTACTTTGAGGTAAGAAAATATCTACTTCCTGTCCATAAAGAGAATGAAAGTTTATGGGGCTTTTTAAAATTTTGTGTAGTCTACTGAAATCTATGCATGTGTATTTTACTTCTAAATTTGTTGGTAAAAAAAAAAGATTATCATTTCATTTATTACATATACAAGTAGCAATATACATTGTATGCAGGGAAGACTTATATAGTAAGCTCATTTCCACTTTGGAATATCAGTATTTGTACAAACTGGCAAGGCCATTTCTTTTCAAGGCCATCAGGAATGCTGATCAATCCCTTAAATCCAGTTTGTTTTTATCAGGATTATGTGATTCTGAGCATTCAAATGAAAAATGAAATCATTGAATAAATAATGTATATTTTTCCTGTAGTATGAATAACACAATATCTAATTTGATTGAGTTATCTGAGAGACCCTTCATATGTATATTTTTCTCTGTTATTATCTCTTCAGGCATTAAGATTCAAGGAAGTTTCTGTTAATGGCTTATGTAAAAGATAGTAAGATGATGGGTAATTGATTTCTACAACTCCCAAAGAACTTGATTTCCAGCATAGTTTTCTACATTCCTGGTTTTAATTTTGCACTGGAGCTCTAGAACTCTATTAGAAATGACAAATGACAGTCCAATATGTAGATCATCATATTCGACTGCAGCAGCATCTCTACAAACCCAACTAATAAACATTCCACCATCCCCAACATTCCTTTGGGCAGAGTCTACCTGAGATTATTCATCTGAACCTGAGCTTCAACCAACTAACAAGAGTTCCTTCTCTTGGGGAGTTCATCCCATCTCATCTCCAAACATTATTCCTGAGAGGGAACAACATTGAAAGTCTGTCTGGTGTTGAGTACCTGGAAGAGATTGCAACCCTGGACCTGGCCAAGAACGCTATCTTCGACACTTCAGATCTCTTTTCCTTGGGTTACCTACATAGGCTGAGGAAAGTGGGTATTCAAAAAAATGATTTGAGTATTATAAGATTATTGACATACATTTTTATGTGGTATGTTCTTGTAATATGTTGTTTGTGACTCAAATTCAGATTACTTTCTATGTTATGTGTTCTAATATAAAGTTTTTGTTATAGTTTGATTATACTGTATGTAAACAATCTCATGAGAGTATGATGCTTCAGTCTAGCTAGCTGCAAGATATGTTTTCAATGTCCTAAGCTTAATGATAATAATGCTGGTGATTTCATTGTTAAAGAACCATTATATAGATAGTTTACATTTCATTGTTACAATTCTTTGCACAAAAATATCATTGGCTGTTATATGTTTCATATGTAATTAATTTTCTTTTCCAGATGCACTTTGACGGCAATCCTTTCACTTTTCAAAGCAAATGGCGATTGATGATAGCGAGATACCTAGCACCTAATGCTGCAAAGATAGTTGTAAGTGTGTGTTTTTTCCAGCCCCTTTAACAAGTAGGATCTTCTAATCTTGCTTTACATTTAATGACACATGGTAATGTCTTTCAGTCTTCATTTTTCTTGTCAACTTTGTTAATATTTGTTTAAATTTTACTTTTGGAAATTTTGGTGATTACAGTGAATGTCTGTGTTTTGAATTTGTTTGTAAAGGTTTCCTTCAAACTAGATTGTATATTTAATGGTACGAGTGGTTATATTTCTGCATTAGTGAGGTATATATTTTTCATTTGATTCTGTGTTGTTTTTTTCCAGACCTTTATTGATGAGATTCCTTTGACCAAAGCAGAGATTCAGGTGAGAGTTTGTCTGTTTTCTTCTTTCTTCAGCATAACAATATTTGAAATAATGACTGCAAGTGTAATGTAGTGAATGTTTACACAATCGCAATAGCTTTTGTAGATGGATGACCAACTAAAAGATGCACAAGTGAACTCCAGTATTATATCTTGAATAGATGTAATACTCATTTAGCTTTCAAAAGAATCTTTGTTTCAGACAAAACAGGAAATTCATCAAAAGAGAAAATAAACTTGAATGAATAACTCCAGCAGCAGTTTTCATGTACTGTCACTTCTAGCACTAACCAAATTTCTAACTTCAACTCTGAACCAAACACTGTATCTAGTCTTGCCTAGCCCTAAACCGAGCCAGAACCCTGTGTCATAGGCAAAGTAAAACTTGCTGCAAAAGTCTTCAGAACATGTCTTCTATCACCAGAACAAGTAGTATGTATGAGTATCTTGTAAAACAGTTGATAGAGATTTGTAAGTGTATGTAGTGTTCCTCAAATGTTTGTGATGTTGCTCAACTATGTGAGTCTCAATTCTTCATTATACAGATTGTTCCAACGAAGAGCATGGTGAGACCCATGAGGCCAGACTATCTCTCAGACAACTTCTCAGCTTCCTTACGCTCTGACATGTCTTATGACCTGGAGGAATCGATGGATCTCGAGGCGAGCCAGAAGAAGCGGAAGTCAAGGGTCAAGAGGTTTTCTACAAAGGTCAGGAATGCATCTATCAGCGAGCAGTCGGACGATAAGAAGCAGAGAGCAAGGCAACAGCTATCAGATGCTGGTGGTATGTTTGCTATTAAAGTTGATTGTCCCATGTCCTAAAAATCTCCTGTATCCTGACACACAGTACATGTAGATATGGTCAAACTGTAATTATGCTAGCAATCTGAATGCAAATGCAATGGGTCGCACTGATGCACTTGGACCAGACACTAACATATGACACATAGGTGTTGGTTTTTTGTTTTGCTGGTGAAGTGTTGCAATTTTCACCATTATTTTGTAGGTCTGTAGCAAACACTTCATTTTGTTTATATCCAAACTTTATTTAGGTTCAGTTTTCTAATATTTGTTAATGTTAGTGATGACTAAATGAGGTGATCTTTCTTCATTCCATTTCTTGTGACTAGATGGGAAATAAAATCAACAGAAGATGAAAGTAAAATCATGACAGAAACAATCTTGTAATGGATGCTATATTGGTATTTTTGATGATATCTGATCTTATACAAATACTACAGGCCAGAAAGTTCAAGTAATTCAAGTTGTGTTGATTTATCTCCCTCTTTAGCTAAATCCTCATCCAGTCCTAGGTCCACGCCAGGCACCGATGCCAAGAAAGAGTTTGAGGATATGAGGCAGATGCATGGCAAGGACTGGCTCCTAGCCCTTCACAACCCTTATGAACCGGTCTCCAAACCTCCTGTACCAAGTAACCAGACCGCTGAACCACATCATACTACCCCCAATGCCAAACCGGGTAGTCTGAATCATGAAGATGGGACCAGAAGAAATGTCCAGGTAGATGTCCACGTCGAACGGGATGGAGATGCAGTAAGGCGTGGCCCAGCGGTGGTGGTGGAGGAGGTGGTAGAGAGAACCTCCATGCCGAGTGAAGAGAGTGCAGGGTTAAAAAGCTTTGATGGGGTCAACGGTCGGGTCAAAGGTCAGGAAGACAATGAAGGTGTAAAGCAGCTAGAAAGACAAGCCTCTGATGAGCAGTTTGACTTGTTGATGAGGCAGGAATCCCAGCTACAAATCAGGATGAACGATGGAGACTTGAAGGAGGAGGAGGATCATGAAGAGGAAGAAGATGGTAAACCCAAAGCATTAGATTACATGAAGTTTAAAGAACTATGTAGGCTAGTTTTTTGTAAGTTACTCTCCATGCAAATTGTTTGGAAAATTGGGCGTTCCATCTCTGAGATGCGGGGAGGGCGTAAATCTTGAACCGTCATAATTTCCCCCTGAAAAGTCCAGTCAGGATAGGTCTGCCATGAACAAAATACCTTATGTGGCATTGATAGCCTTATTTTTTTTTTTTTACACATATGTGATTTGATGATTATATATTTAGTTAACTGAATCTGTAGTGTATAATTTTCACAGGTATACAATAATTTGTGTTCTTTCAAAACGATTTTGTCAACGTCAGAAAATGAATTGCACAAGACTAGTTTTTAGTGTACACATATTTTCATTAACTGGGTCAGATCAAAGAGCCACTACGGTAACAAAATGACCAACCCACCAAAATGGGAAAAATGTATCTCATACAATGATGATGATGATGATGATGATGAACTACATTGGTATATGAATTGGGTACCCAAATAAAAATGCTATTCACTTTAATATGTACTCTTGAGTTATCAGAAGGTTCTTGTCCCAATTTTCATATACAGACACATACTCTAACATTGTCACAAAGTCTTTACCATTTACCACTCTGAAAAACTCTAATCTTAATATTTTTAAACTTAAAGACCATCAATACTACTGGGCCAGAAGAGATTAGACCACACAGCAAGGTCACTGACAGGTGGCTTTTCCATTAACTCAGGTCTCAACTAACATAAGAAAAAGAGGATCATGGGGGACCAACAGGCACCGATTGGGGAAGTTTTCTATATAGCGGAAGCAAGTAGCTACAAGTAGGACAATGGGGCTTTAAATTTTCAAAATATAATGAATAATGTACCATTCTCTTGAAACATGAATGTTAACATTCTTTCTCTGTATTACTTTAGGTGGTATTGACCTGTGTGGACCACTGCTCATCAGGTTACACAAAACAGAACCTCCTGTGCAACTCTTTGTCACTGTCAAGGAAGCCTTCATTGAAGAGAAGAACCTCTATGGCAAGGTGGTACAGAGACTTGAAACAAAGACTCTTAAAGGGTGAGATAAACGTTTATTTTAGTTTTCAGCAACGCCTTAAGGCAGCTGGGATAAAACCAGGGTTATAATACTACTTTGTCGGCGCCTTGAGCATCTCCTGGGATGAATACATGCACAATAAAAATGTAGCTTATTTTTATTAATAATACCATGTAACTACTTGATTAATTTTATTGGGCTTTTGATCTTGAATAGAACATGTTCATTTGTAGAAATGACTTCTGTAAAGAATTTACATTTTGCTAATACGTTGTCTTCCTGACTCCACTAGTAACAGTTGTACTCTTGTAAGACCTGTATTGATTTAAATCTCCATTAATGGTAATGATCATGCAATAATGATCTTTCTCAATCTCTCAATTGATGGTAGCATGTAATTACAATATTTTTGTACTTGATGTTACGGTCTTTCTTATCATTATGTTATCCTTGGATCTTCAGAATGAATATGTCAATCGAGGGAATGCTTGATGAATTCAGCAATGCTCCAGTGGAGCTTCCGGTTGTGACGCTGTCTTTCGACTACATCAACAAAGAACGTCGCAAGAGAGAATATGTCATGGACGATATGAACACTTGTGAGGTATGTAGCATCACTTTCAAGCGATATATGATGAATGAACAAACAAAGTATCAAACGAAAGAACATACAAATGTATAACAAAAATTTGACCATATTATGATATATTTTTGAATTAGATTCCTTTTATAACAGGACAGCCTCTTATGTTTAAGAAATTATAAATATATCCACTAATGGATTTCATAATTTAAAATTTTTTTTTTTTATTGATGAACATGATTTTGAGTATACTCTAAAATCTTTACACAAGATGGTTTTTGGAATGAAAATTTAACCCTATTTTAACTGGGCTATTTCAGACCAGGTTTTTACTGGGGGGGGGTCAATTTGACCCCCCTAAGATCTCGGCCGTTTCACCGCCGATCGCCGCGAAAATTCGCATGCATGTCAAGTGAAGTGTATAGAATACTATGGTAATTTCAAATTTTTGAAAAATTCACTCATTTGCATATTTATGGTAATTTATGCAAATAAGGTCATCAAATTCACATTTCTGCCCATAAATCATAGATTATTCATGTTTACGTATTCTTTTTCACCACATATATTTATTAGACCATTTGGAATAATAATACAACACAAAAAATTGGAAGAGCCAGGTTATTCCTTATGTTATCTCTTGTTTTTATAATTTCTTATGTATTTCATTGTTTTTTTAACTTATGTATTTTATTGTTTTTGTTGTTTTATTTCATTTATAACTGCAATTCAACTATTTTGACCCAAAACAAACATCTAAACTTTAAACAAGACTGAATAACCAATGTTTTATCTATTTTTAGGAAAAATGACTTTTACATATGTTTTGTACACAAATCACGAAAATGAGCGATTTTCGGGCTGACATGCAAAGACAAAAGGTCACGTGACCTTGTAACCGTAGGTCCGATTTTCAAAAAAATCGTTTTAAAAGATGCGTAAGACTCGAAAGTAAAAAGTCATGAAAGGAAAATTTTATATCTGCCGCGGTTTCGGAGTAGTCGCGAAATTTCTACAGGGGGGGGTCAAATTGACCCCCCCCCCAGTTAACGTAGGGTTAAAACATTCTTGTAATATTCGATGTCTTTCAATTAATTCACTTTCTAAAGTCACATCTTGTGTAAGAATTTGGTGCAGCTAATCAAAATGTCTGTGTGATATTGATGGAGGTACCCTCGTTGTATTCAAATATGTATAGCAATACATGAAAATATTAAAGCTTTTTGTATTTTACACCCTGCAAACTCAGATCTTTTATTTGTCTTTAACCTATATTGAATTACATAAATGTGATTGTACCAATTTGATATAATCTGATATTTACCTTTAAAAATATCTCAAAGACTGATAAATATAATTATAAAGTATGAGTATGTGATATTATCACAGAAAGCAGTATTACCTCCTTGATTTTGAAATACTTTTGATCCATCAGTCCCTAATCCAAGTCCTGGAACCAATTATAGTCCAGAATGAGGCAAGTAAGACCAGGGTCTTCATGCACTGTCTCAAGTGTTTGAAGGAGTTCCCCAAGGACCAGGCTAAGAAGAGAATAGAGAAGAAACCCAAGAAGTCAAGTGCCTGGACATCTGAAGAGGAGAGTGGTAGTGGTGAGTAGATGACTCAGGATTTTAGGACAACTGCCTCTTATCAGACAACCACCACCTTCTGGTTTTCTTAAAGCCCCACTGCACTACTTATAACTACTTGCGCCCTCTATATAGCAAACAATGCGTAATCGGTGACCATTGGTCCCCCATGATCCTCTTTTTCTTATGTTAATTGAGAGCTGATTTAAGGTAATAACCACCTGTCAGTGACCTTGCAGGGTGGTCTAATCCCTCCTGTACACTAGTACAGATGGGCTTTAAGAGAGTTGTTTTCGGTGGTAGTTGTTTAACAGGATATTGACTCAGAGGATATTGTTTTATCAGGAATACCGGTAGTGTTTCTGGAGATAGTTGTCTGTGACCTTGAAAGGGTAGTTGTCAGGGAGGTATCATTTTGGTGGGGGGGGGGGGGGGGGGATGGGGGTAGTTGCTATTCCTGGGATGGTGATACTATGAGTGGAATGTGGATATGGATCCTTACTGGCAACTCTTATTTTTATGACAAAATGGAAGTAATTCATAGCCTTAAAGTTTACCAATCACTCAAGAACCATTTGTGTACAGCTAAAAGGTATTAAAAAATCAACCTCAAGAAACTTCACCCGGCTTTCTATGGGCTAACAGATAAGGAATATGAAGATATTTAAAGAATAACAAACAGTGCACACAGAACCCAAGTCCGACTATGGTTCCATCAACTTCCATGCAAGCTCTATTTTATGCGAGCGCGTACAGGTGTGTCGAGTAGTCTACTCACAAGTCACCTTTATGTTACTCAGGGGAGTATTTAAAGCTGCAAAATCTCTTTACAGAAGTAATTTTTGAAGCTCATATTTTGAATATAGTCTTATAACATGGAACTACTTACATACCAAACAAATAATTTTGGGTGATTGGTACACTTGCGTTCTCTGTCAGGGACAGTATTTGCTTTTTGCAAAACATGCTCCCACCATTGTTTAAGCAAATCTATATGTGTGAATTCAATGTGAACATAAGTCTTATCTATGAATGATAAATTGCAAATAGCTATCTTTCAAATCATCAGGGTTTGTCATCCTAAAATAAACTATAATCATCTTTACAATGAAAATCTTTTCAGCATCTAGAATTTTCTTTTTTGAAGACACATTCTTATTTTCAGTTCTCTGATATCTTTATTTCCTCATCTCCTTCTGCCTCAGATTTTGATTCTGTGAGCGAAGTGTTGACATGTCCTAGCTGTGGTAGTAACCTGCTCCTGGAGGTCGATGACCCAAGGAAGTCAGAGGTCAACACACCATATGGGTCAGTGACATCATTTGACCTCAGTTCTAATCCTATTGCAGCATCGTCACCATGGAAACAGAAAAGGTAAGATCAAAACAATCTTGAAAACTGCATTGTGTACTCCATGCCTAAATACATTTACATACATCCAGAATTGTATGTACCGTAAATCTCTGTGTATAAGGTGCACCCCTATTTTGGGGGGGGGGGAGGGGGGGAGGGGAAAAGAAAAGAAAAAAGTTTTTGTTTGTTGTTGTTGTTGTTTTGTTGCCGAAAACCTACGCGGGGAAGGACCTTCATTTAACATCGAGGTGCAGTTGAAGGCCCTTATTTGTGCTTGTGAATTTGTCACAAATAATAGTTACAATGTCATTTTTAGAAGAATGTGTAAGATCATTAATGTAAATTAAAAATAATAGAGTACATAGGATAGAACCTTGTGGTACACCATTTGTTATAGAAATTTTTTTGAGGAATTATTATTATAAACTACATATTGAGATCTATTAGAAAGATTACTTTCACACCAAGATGACAGACAAATATGAGTGTTGTTATAGTTTCCGAGTGGTGAGTCAACACACTGATTACTGAGCTGGGAGACATTGCCAGGCATAGTGCCATAAATCTAAACTAAAAAACTTTTACAAAATTCTGTACCTAAGTGTATAAGACGCACCCCCGACTTTCAATTTTTTCGGCGGCAAAAAAGTGTGCCTTATACACAGAGATTTACGGTATGTAGATCTAACGTATGATTTGATGTCATTGACAAATGGTGTTTTATCTCTGTAGAGTTGAAAAGTCATAGATCTCAGTCTTGTACAAATGTTCAAAGAAAATTCCGTTTTAAATTTATACAAACATTTGTTGTGAAGACTCTTCTCTTGGTGAATCATTTTATATAATAATAATAATTTATCATCAAAATATAAGTAATGGAACAAGAGATTATATGTTTCAGGAGATTGAGTCTTGGAAACTTGGCATCCTGGGTAGAAAACAAAGGTGGTATGCAAGTGCCTTTTTCTCGGTAAGGCATATTCGTTTTATCCACAGGGAGGATTTTTTGTGCCCTCTGGTTATTTTTAAGTTTGTACATGGACATAATTAATTTTCTTTCACATAAATGATTAAGAAATTAAACAATTAGTCATTAGTTGATACGTTTCTATATATATTTTGTTCTTGTTTTGTTTGTATAGAGATACCAATGCTGTCATAGTAAGCCATTTACAAGACCCCTCGGTGGATATCTTCTCCTCCAATTCCTCCGATCTCAGCTACACCAAGAGTGCCTCCTCAACTCCTTCCCAGCTCTCGCCAAAGAAAGACAGGACCAAGACCAACCTAAGTCCAGCTCATGGTCCAAGAGGTCAAGCGATCAGAGATCTGCTGATGCCATCACCATCCAAAGATGGGTCACTCACCTCGTCATTGTCATCCCAACACAGTGGTACAAGTGCAGATTACAGGTTGGTTCACATGTTGTAGCGTAAACAAGTATTGCCTCTGTGTTCTTTGTTATCACAGCCTTCTTCAAAAAGTTTTAACCAAATTCCTTGTTACAACAGGTAATCATTAATATGCAAACCTATTCTTTTTTTCTCCTTTTGTGTGTGTACTTGTCCCAACTGGACATGAAAATTTTAAGCTATGTCTTTTGAGAGCCAGAAAGGTATTAAACTCTATTACAGGATATAACATAATGCCCTTATAACTTATTTATAACTTTAATGTGAAGTATACACATAAGTATGGAACTACCCTTTGCATACTTATCCTGTAACAAGTGTGAGTGTGAGGACAAATCATTTTCCAGGGAAAATTCTCTTTAAGGCTTGACTAAAAGGATAAAACAAGTAATGAACAGATGTTTCATATCGAGTTCTTGCATATAATTGCGAAACAATGTAAAATTCTGTTTCCTTTGCTTTTGTTGTTGTTTTTGGATATAAACATACCCTTTTATGGATACAAATAGTTGAGGAAGTTATGGTAGTTCAAATGATGAAATAATATTTTTGTAGTATTTGTTACATTTTTTTAGCCATGTCAACACAAGTCAGGAATGTTATAAACGTGATTCCTCGATTTTCATTAGGTTACCAGATTCAAGCATCAAGATGGAAGCATCTGAATGTAGTGCAGTGGAAGAATTAGCAAACTATCCAAGAGAGAAACTCACCGAGCTGCTTACCACTAATAAGTCAGGCTTCAGACAGAGGTAAACTATAGGTCATACCTAGAAACACAATGCCTGATTGCCTTAGCACTTGTGAAAGCTGAGATATAGAAGAAATCCCACACAGCATAACTTACTCTTCATAAATATATCACTATCTTTACGCCCTATTGAGGCATAGCAGTATATTCCATAACATTATATCAAGTTAACAAACAGTATATATCTATTTCCAATTAACTTTCATATCAAGTTACATATTATATATTCAAATGGCAACTAACTTTATTTTATGACGAAATTTCTTATGAGAACGATGAAATTACATTATGAAAGGTCTCCTGTGTATTCAATGGAAAGAAAGTTCATTTTCACTTTGATTTTAACTAACTTCTGACTAGATTTTTAGATTTATTTTTATGTTGAGGATCAATGGAATGCCTCAAAATTTGCATGTGCTCTCACTAAATGTAAAATAGTAGGAGAATTTTAAAAAGTTGAACATTTGAATTCAAGCAAAGATATTTTATTACATGTTTATTTTCCACTTTAATTTGCATGTTTTTCTGTATATATCTAATAAGATGATTTTTTCCCGAACCAATGGAAATTTTTCTATAACAAGTGAAAGACTTCTTTCTGTCCTTTATCATTAAGAAATCAGATTAAGATTTTGATAAAATGGTCAATTTTAGGAATATAATTTCATAAAAGTATATGCACGTATGATCACAAGCTAACACATGACACATAACTAAATTTGTTTATGATTTGTTATTTTGAGTTGTTTTTTCTTCTTTTATGTTGTTTTGTTATTTTGTAATCACTTCCTTATTGTTTCTTTTTCCTGTTGCTTTGATAAGGACAAGCTCTCTACAGTAATGTTATGTTTTTTGTCCCTTCTTTTAGTTTCTTTCAGATTTTACCCCATTGTTTTTTAAGATACATGCATGTTTAGCACATTAACATGTCACCATATATTTGTTTACTAAGTGTTTTTTGTCATATCTTTGTTCATATTTTCAATTGACCAAATAGCACAGAACAACCAAGCAGTGCTCCCCAAAGGTACAGTAGCAGTACTCTTGCTTTATTCCTTCCCTAACTACCGTACTTGTTCTTTGTTTGACTGTTTTGTCTTGTTTTGTTAATAATGGGGATGGTTGAAGATGTTGACGTCATCTAAAATCCATGCTTTACTTTAATCTCAGCAGCATGGCTTATATCTAGTAACATGCTTTCAAGATATAATTAAATGCATGTTTTAGGTGCTGTATTTTCTAAAAAAAAGTGCATGGAGACAGAAAATGAATAATGCACATGTGTATTCAGCATGGAATCATAAACTCAAGCTTTTGTTTATATTTGGTGGTCTAGAGAATTAATACATTTTTTTTTCAGATGATAGGGTACTTAAGCTATGAAATATACAAAGTTAAGCCTCAAGCTCTTTGTATTGCCTTTGAAACTTGTACCAGATATGTTTAAGTTCTTTTTGTGATAAATAGTGAAATGAGTATTTTCTTTTTTGTTGTTATGACTAACATTTTCTTGTTATTTGTTTTCTCAATAGTTATCTCTTCCAGTACATATTTTGTCATTGCATGAGGTCATTTCTTAATTATCAGTGACATGCGATACTTCTTTCATTATCGGTTAAAAACCATACATGCCAACTGTTCAGATTAAAGAGGAACATTCCTCTTTTTGGGAGAAGATAATTATCATTTTAATGCAGGTGTTCCTCTTCCTGTACAAATTTGTCTGTAGTATTGAATAGGAGAGTTAGGATTGTTCCTCTTTTTTTTTTAAATAGCATAATTTGTACAGATTTCTGATTTTCAAATGTTGTCATGTATGAAAAACATATAATGCTTTGAAAAGTATAATAGAGGCAAAGCATCTCTCAATCCTTGCTCTCGTAGGAATGTTTAAAGGGCAGCCAATCTGAAATGTTCTGATAACATCAACTCTTTTGCATCGTACTTTATCCTGTTGTCTATGCTTGATCCCTGGCAGGTACTCACTGTGCCCCACTGACGGTGGGAGCGTGTCTAGCATGGATGCTGCCTCAGGACCCCCTACCCCAGTCCAACCCATCACATCCAATCCTTTTGAATCACATTTCAGGAATGGTGCAAGCACGGAGACCAAGGCCGATCCCTCCAGGTCATCCCTATCACATCTGATGAACGGCAATGCGAAGACCTCTGCTGATGAGTGCGATGGAGGGCGAGCCAGCGGGAAGTCCAATGAGGTTGAAAGTAGGACTAATGGAGGAGGAAGTGATGAGGTATTTAACCACAGGGTAGATCATAGCTACATTGAGGATGACTTTGTGGTGTTGGACAACTCAGAAGCAGCGTCCAATCATAACATGGAATATAGGAATGCCTTTCACATACAGGAGGGATACCACCAGGAGAAGGACACTGTCTCTGTGGATGCAAACAGCGTCGGACGTCTAGACAGCAATGAGAGCGACATTGCCGTCATAAGTGAGACAGACGTTCAGAGCAGTAACAGTGCACTTGCGATGCTCAGGAACTCCAGTGTTGGGAACCTCAGCACAACATCAGACACTGTATTTGAGAACAGTCACCATGTCAACATCAGCAATAAGAGTAGTGAAAGTCCTGTTCAGCCTCGGCAGGAAACCTCATCTGACGATCACAGAAGCTTGCTCAGTTCTAATGAGCATGATGCCATTTATAAATCAAACTCTGGTTCGGATAGTGCAGCTGATGTGAATGGAAGTGGACAGTGGAATGTTCATGGTACTAACCGCACTGCAATGAAAAGAGCTGTCCAGTCTTCTCCATCTCATTCTATTAACTCAGTGACGGTTGAGACGACATCCATGTTATCTATGGCTCAGGAGGATTGCTGCAGCATTCATCACCGTCTCAAGCTCTTCTTCTCCATGTCTGTGTTTGGCAATGATGAAGAGTTCACTTGCTTATTGAGGGTATGCATTTTATGTTTTTCATCCAAAATAAGATGATCCTTGCCTCTTTATGTATGTTATTGTGTCTCAGCTGAACACAGCTCGGGTCCTTTCCCCACTGTTTGGATGATAGGTGGGCTGTAAGTGAATGTTTTTATTTATTTCACTGATATCCTAACATGTTTTCAGCTGTTTGTACTACTTTATTTTTGACTTCAGCAGGTTCCCTTTGAGTAAGATGTGTAGTGTTGAATAAGGAAGGTTTCTTATGTAGTTATTCGGATTTATACTAAAAAGGATAAAGTCAAATGGATTCTTAAATTCTCATGACTATGTAAATAACCTGATCTGTCTGAAGCAAATTACATGAACTTGGATTGTGTGTCAAGGCTTCCTTTCTCGATCTCAACCATTACTGCAGAAAAATTTGAATTTGCTTTCACAATGTATTTATTTGTTTAACAGGGCACAGTGTTTCAATTTAGCAAGAAGCTCAGCTTTGATGGCTTGGTGGTGGTTTCAACAGAAGGCATCTATATATTGAAGATCACTAAAGAGGAGAGGTAATTTAGATTTATTTGGAATTATCTACATTTGTATGCCTTTTCTGTGAGAGATTTTAACACATGATAGAGATATTTTGTCTAAATATCAGCTGTATTCATGTCAAAATACTTATGAGAAATGTCAGATTATGAGGTATACAGTAAACATACCTTTTTCAACATTTTTTTAACCATCAAGTTTTATCCACAGATTAATGACAAATTCAAATTTACAATGTAACTTATTAACAATAATCTAAGATAATCTAAATGTAAAAGAAAACATGCTGTTCTGTGTCTATGCTTTTCAGATAGTATTTTGAATATCTGACCTTTGTTTGTTTTTCCTTGTAAATGGAAAGAAATTTCAAGACCAGAGAATAAATCTCCTATTGTCATTCACATCCATTCCTTCTCAGTGAGAACCCATCTGATTGGCTAGCTAAGAAGACTCAGCATCTAATCAAAGATCTGATAAGGGTTCATGTGGGTCTTGGAAGTCAGACTATGCAGTTTGAATTCTCCTCTGATGGGATCCTGTACACAATCGTTATTGGAGACAAGAAGAGAACAAGACAGTTTGCAGCAGTCTTGATGAGTATGTTTGATATTATGAAACATCATTTATTCATATGTAGGGGATAGGATAGTAGACACGGGTTGGAAAGTATGGGTTGATATATTATGTATTAGGGGGATGTTCATTACATAAATGATTGTGTCAGTTTTGTATTTGTTAGAGCCTTTGTGCAAGAGGATAATCAAATGTTGATTCTCTCATACTCTTTGAAATTCTAGGCACCTCAAATGGTCCCAATGCAGAACAGGTGAAATAGTATTGTTTTTAAATACATTCTGTAAGAGATCACGTATTCTTTCCTTTGATTTAACTAATGTAACAACAGGCATTCGATGCTGATTTTAGCAAGTATAAGATTAGTAACAGTCATGATTATTTTGATGAGGAAACTTATGGCTACTTTTTTTTTAAACTATGAGAATGCAAATCAAATGGTCCCAATGCAGAACAGGTGAAATAGTATTGTTTTTAAATACATTCTGTAAGAGATAACGTATTCTTTCCTTTGATTCAACTAATGTAACAACAGGCATTCGATGCTGATTTTAGCAAGTATAAGATTAGTAACAGTCATGATTATTTTGATGAGGAAACTTATGGCTACTTTTTTTTTAAACTATGAGAATGCAAATCAAATGTAGGGTTGTGCACAGATTTTGGTACAGTATTTTGTTCACCTTAACATTTAATTGATTGATTCAATTTGATCTTCATATCCAGATTTAATCAGTACAAGTGCGTGGAAGAAGAAGTTCAAGGGCGTTGTTTGGGAGCATGCCCAGACGTTTCTCAACCTGACTGATGAGGTGTTTGTACCGCAGGCTACTGGGGATACCAGCTATGAGGTAGACCCTCAGATAAACGTCTTCATCACCTCCCAACTCAAGACAAGGATAGAGACTAAACAAGGTAGAATTTGGGTTTTGGGTAATTTTTCTATTTGCCTTTAGACTTGTTTTGTTTTGCTATGTGGTCTTTTTTTCTTCTGTAGAGTCGATGTAAGGAAGATATACAGCATGACAATCTCTTACAAACAGCCATTTTAATTGACGTTGATCAGTTGTGATTATATATCAACCTTTTGGATACAACTTGATTGTAGTGTAACATGTATTTTCTATAGATTTCGACCTAAGCTGGAGTTTATGGAAAATGCATGTTGTACTAAAATCTTACATTCTATTACTTCTATTAAAGCCTGTTTTCACTAGTTTGGTCAGGGGGATTAGACCTCACTGTAAGGTCACCGACAGGTCAGGTGGTTATCTCATTAAATCAGCTCTCAAATAACATAAGAAAAAGGGAATCATGGGGGACCAACAGGCACTGATTAGGCATTGTTTGCTATATAGAGGGCGTAAGTAGCTATAAGTTGTGCAGCGGGCTTTAATTTACATCAAACCAAGGTAAACATTCAGAAGCAAGAGAAAACATACCAGGTACACATCTACATCCCTTGTGCACATTTCTCTTAAATCACTCTCATTTGCACAAGTATTTTCCTCTTCTGGCATTTATTATCAGTTGTATGTATTTATAAACAATTCTACTCTGGTATGTTAATTGTTTGTATGTTATAAATGCGAACAAGCATTGTAATATTGGCCTTCACTCGTTATAACCACAGGCACGGAGATGAGTGTAGAAGACTTGGGCATCGTGGTAACAGCTACTGATATCTATCTGGTAGAGGAGAACCACTTCTATCCCCTAGCTCCTGGAAAGAACAAGAAGAGTGTCAAAGGTCAACAGCAGTTCATCCCGAAAGGTCATCGCAAGATCAGTGATATCTCTGGACTGGTAAGATACCCTCTTATCATTTTTGCTCTTTGTTCCTTAAAACCCCTCTGCACTAGTTGGCCAGGAGGGATTAGACCTCCCTGCATGGTCACTGACAGGTGGTTATCCCATCAAATCAGCTCTCAATTATAAGAAAGAGGGGTTCATGGGGGACCAACAGTCACCGATTAGGCATTGACTGCTATATAGAGGGCGCAAGTAGCTACAAGTAGTACAGTGTGGCTTTAAGAGAACGACGTAAACACTCATAATTTAAGCTTCACCCTTGTTTGAGGGAGATATGCCATATTGTTAGAATTCAAATCTGATTTGGATCGTTATTATGTGTTTCATGAATGAAAATATTGTTATTATGTCAGCAATAAAATAATATTTAACCCTAATGATTGATAAAAAGAAGATAAAAGCATTGGTGTAAATGGAAATTCAGTAGATCTATTGGAGCGTTTACTCTTTCTGTATTCTGGATTACTCCAAATTTTCTATGTAAACCATAGAATTATTGGAAATAAACAATGATAGAATATGGATCCCATGAATGTGACTTGATGATATTATATATTATTCTCATTCCCTCAGGAGTTGTATGCTGATTCTCTAACTGATGTGACTGTATCATTCTTCAGTGAGGTAGGATTTTTCACAACCTATTCCATTGTATATTCACTATTATATACCTCACTTAAGAAATCCAGCCATCTGATTGGTCGAAATTGCATTCATAAAATTTAACTATTTCTGTAAAATTCCCAGTAACCATGGTTAAAACAGTTCTAAAATCCCAGTAACCATGGTTACCCCATAGGTTTACATGTTAAAAAATGGTTTGAGCGATCGAGGATACCGTACGTATGCGAAGAATTGGTCTGTATTTTCATACAAGACAAGACAATTCCAAACTAGACAAAAATGGCTAAAGAAACTGTCCCAAGATTTCAACTTTCAAATGCAAGACTCGCTGACAGCAAGAACAACAAAAAGGGTACATGAAATTATCCATAAACATGTTAGTTTAGTTGCTGAAAATGGAGTACCAGCATAGACGTAGACGAAAATAGATCTAGTTGTCAGGGTGTCTAATCACGCACCCGATGTTGTGTGCTATATTCTTCCCATAGAGATTACTCGCAATGCAGTCTCTATGCAGTCTACGTGCATTGCGCGACCATGCAAAAAAAGTCAATTTTTTTTTTTCAATTCGAGATTCAAACCTTTATCTGTTGTGATCCTGAAGGTGATACTCAATACATGAGGTGTCATATGAAAGCGCAGGTTCTTCTCTCTATTCCCCACAGGGCCGGTCCACCCCCCAAATTGTAAAAATATCTTGCTTAGACTAGAATCTAGATCTAGTCTACTCTCAAAGATACACTCATAAAAAACAACCGTGCAGATAAACTAGAGAAAGGCCAAGGTGGTGTCATTAGTTGCCTCTTTTGTTTTCGGCATATAAAAGTATTAATGACTGCTTTAATATTCGAGAAATAGTTGTTTTTATACGCTCTCGGGAAGGTTACAATTGGGCTATTGCCCTCGGCACGCCTCGGGGCAATAGCACAATTCTAACCTTCCCTTGAGCGTATAAAAACAACTATTTCTCTCAAAGCGGTCATTAATACTATTATATATCTTGTTGTTGGTACTTTGATGTGACCTAACCCAAAACTTGAACATCCCTAGACGTACTGAGATCTTCATTAGCTTGATAAGGCTTCTGTCAGTGACTAGTTTGCCAGAAATTAAAGGGGTTAATATGTATCTATTGTAATGTAAGGTAGGACTTCCAATCACCCACACAAATAAGCTTGCTTTAAGGCCTGAAACATGTTTTTATTGTGAAGAAGGGTGATAATATGCCTGCTCCCACAATCCGTCCCCAGATGCTGTGTGCCTAGTCTACACATTCAGACAGGAGGTTACTACAGTATCATGTTCATTATCTCCCAAGTCTTATTTGAACAGTGTTTGATTCCCTGTTAGGATCAATATATGAACTTTTTAAAAAAGAATTCAAAAGCTAATTCAGACCTTTTTTTTCCCTTATTTTTTTTGAAGCTGCAGATGTTTCTTCATTTATATTTGAATTAAAAAAAAACTATTCAAGCAACAATAGTTAATAATATTATTGATTTGCATAAAATGTGACAACTGAAATACAAACAAAAAATACATAGATATAATTGAAAACTTGAAAATATGGAGGTAAATCAAAGAATCAAAATAAATGCAGAGACCAACTATCGTAAGCATGAATGCACAAGTGGATAGCAGCCAGAGAATGGGGGGGGGGGGGGGATGGGGCACATGACGCTGTTATACAAGTAGGTAGGAGGATGGAGTGTCATGTATAAAGATTTTTTTTCTCTTCAGAAAATATCTAGTTAAAGTAAAAAGTTGGAAGAAAGACAATTTTGAGTCCTTGTGATTTTGTTTTCACAGGATACTGGTGAGGAATCACAGTGGAACATCAGCACAGTATCAGATGCTTCACTGGATCAACTTCTAACCATGATCAAACAACCCTGGAAAGAGATGTTTGGTGTGGACATTCACGAGACTCTACATCCATCTATCGCAATCCAGGTAATTGGACCACATTGGTTACATTTCTTTTCAGGTTTACCACTACTACTACTGATAATCTAGATTTATATTGCACTTTACAAAATACTGTAAGCGCCTTACAGATAATATTACGCTGGGCTCTGGTCTTTCAAAGAGTTGCGATTGATCAAAATAAAAAATCCAAATGTAAGGTTCTTGAATGAATGCCATGATGTTATAGAAAAGTAATTTCTGAGATAAATCTGAATATGATTTGAGGTGGTTTAGATTGATTGGTATTAAATGCTGAAATATACCAATTAAATTTCACCTAGGAAACCAGACATTACGATGTGTATTATTGCAAAGCATCCAATTGATTGAATTTCTCTGGGAGAGCTATATTCCTGCTAATCAGACATAACTTTGTATGCAATGTAAAAGGTGGCTTGCTCTTAATTGCATCTTACAGTCCAGTGGATTCTTTCAAAAGAAAACCAGTTAGATATCTTTAAAATTTGTTGAGCAGTACAATTGTTGGATTAATGAATTAAGTAGCTATATTTATTTTCATGTATATTGCTTTTTTCCATGCAGGATTTGGCATGAAAGCTCCATGGAAACTCAACTCAAGATCTCGGCCATCATCATATTGATCGCTCATGATTCCAGTAATACGTAACACCTTTTCTATTATCTGCTATGTGTATTGGCTTAATTTCTATTTATTTGCTCATGTTTCCTTTTTATATTATGGTTATAAAGAAAGCTGCTATATTTTTCTATGAATTTTGTGTCATCTGATGTAAACAAAAGAAGGAAAAAAAAAGAGTATATTTTTATTCACCCCTCGTACTACTACCGGTATATCATATTACGAGAACCACCCTTACTGGAACCATTTTCAAGCCAGGAGTTGATACTTCCTCGTTCTCAGTGTATATCTTGCAAGATGTATTATACTCTCTTTTCAATCACTCGATGGAAGACAAGAAAGGGGTCAAAATGCATTTTGTGATGTTGTTAAGTACGTCGTCACTTCTAGGTGTATGCCAGTAGAACATAATCTGGACTTAGAGATAGCTATCATGTAAAATTTATTTTGTTAATCTTCTTTTATTTTCATTCTTCTTGATATTCTTCTTTTATGTTTAATTATCTATGCAACCTGCTGATCTCTTTCTAGCTAGTAGATAAATCCCTTTTCCTTAACACAGTATTTTTGTATATTTTTTCTTTTTTATATTGATTAGTTTTATGGTCGGTTGGTCTCTCACTTCTTGTTTAGATAGGGAAATAAAGCAACTACCAGCACAATTCTTTAGCCTTTCATTTATTTTGGTCCAAGAATAGATGTTACGTATTGAGTATTCTAAAAAAGGGAAAAAAGGTGCCATCCAAGAATCATACATAGCCTTTTGTACAGAAAAGTCTAGTTTTATATAGTGCTCACTCAGTATAATAATAATAATAATAATACATAACATTTATTAGGCGCTTAATACTGATGTTTCTAAGCGCACAGTGTTCTGATTAAGAGAAGACTATAACCCGTAGAATTAAAATAGAAGAAAAAGCAAAAATACAAAAGTAACATAGATAAGGTAAGAAAAACAGTGGCAATCAACTAAATAAAGACAAATATGGTGCGCACCTCCATTGACCGACGCACAACTGCAATTTACAATTTGAAAAGATAGGTTTTGAGTAGAGATTTGAATTGAGATACAGAGGGGGCGCAGTGAATAAAGGCGGGCAGTTTGTTCCAGAGAGCGGGGGCAATAACTGAAAAGGCGCGGTCACCATACCGGGTGTTAGTGCGGGGTCCAGGTGTTAACAGTAATGTGGAAGATGAACGAAGTGTTCGTGACGACGTACGGGAACGTAAGGATATGAGATCGGAAAGGTAAGAGGGGGCTAAGCCATTGATAGCTTTGTAGCACAGGAGAAGAATTTTGAAGGATATGCGGTGGTGAATTTTAAGCCAATGTAGTGAGTTCAATATTGGAGTTATGTGCTCTGATTTACGCGAGAGAGTCACAAGCCGAGCAGCGCTATTCTGTACCCTTTGAAGTGGGACTAGATGTGACTGAGGGAGGCCAGAAAGAGAAGAATTACAGTAATCGATATGGGTCGAGACAAAAGCATGGACTAATTTTGAAGTTGTGGGTCGGTCAAGTAGCCTCCTGATTCTACTGATCTTATATATACCAAAGGAAGCAGACTTACAAATATTACTAATGTGTTGTTTGAAAGTAAGATTGCTGTCAATATTTAAAGTATGCATTTACTGTAAGAGTATTCTACTCTAGATTATTCATTTGAGTTTAGCTTTGAATTGATGGTACTCTGTTGTGGTTAAGCTGTTTATAAATTTTACAAATACCAAATTATCTTTTACATGCTAATGTAACAACTAAATGTCAAATTTCACCATTATGAAATGAGCTGTACTATTATGGTAGTAGTATGTTTGCATCCATATAATCAGTGTCAAATGTTGAACATAGATGGTGTATCATACTTGTATTTACTATTATGTTGTATGGTAAACCAAGTTCAGTTTCTAAAAAGAACGATATAATGTATATATGTTAAAAAATCACAGAGATTCTATTTATTAATAAATTTGATGTATGATGTGTAAATTTATGGTATGTATGGTAGAAGGAAAAATCTATGATACCCAGTTTGACTATAATGGTTGGAGACAGTGTACAGGCCATCAGTTGTCAAACTGGAAATAACCCTTACAAAATTAAGACAGAAGATCAGGGCATCATTTCGTGTAACCGTCATAAGGCCTAAAAAAAAAAATGTTGTATTGCCCTTTTCGACTGACCCAAAAATCTTTAAATGTACAGTCTGCTTTTTCTTAAAGTTTTTTTTTTAACCATTTTTTAGAAAAAAAATAATAAAATATGTATTAAAGCATTCAAAACTGAGAAATATCAGCCCAAAGAGGGAGTAAAAAAACTTTGAATAATAAAATAGATTTCTGACCAACCAACCCATGTTTTGGCACCTAAAGGGCAAAGGGCAATACAACATCTTTTTTTTTTAGGCCTAATAACAAGTTCATCGACATCCCTTTGAAATGTGTTTTGATGGATGTCGGATAACTCGGATACAGTTGTACTTGTGATGGCTTCATGAATTGCTGTCCACAGTTACAAGCTCTGGTATAACATAACAAAGACAGTGAAAAAGTCGGAGCAAAATTTGTCTGATATAATATCTAATGATAAACAGATAAACACTGCAACCAAAACTCATTTCAATGTAAATAATGTACCACTTTGTTTTTAATATCTCTTGATGCGCATTATGAAGCTTGTTCATATGGATGAATAGTCTTCTAAAAATTACTCATAATGTTTTGTTTGCATCTCTTTTCAGAGGGATGTTTGCAATTTAAATTACATGTAGTTTATAAAGACAGTCAGACCTTGATTTATTATATTAAATAAGTAAATCATTTAAAGTGAATACTTTGAAGACAGTTTTTTACAGCAATTGAGCTCAGATTATTACCTCATTTTGTGTATGCGGGCCATTCAATTTGTTTATTTATATTTAGGGGAATATATCTTTGAAATATGTTAAGGTAATGTGTAGTGATAAAAGGTCTGTTCCATCATCAAAGTGGAGAAAGGGCATTTTAAAGCAATCTTTGTACACAACAATTAAGAAAGTTTGCTTTATTTGACATCACACATGACCTTTTGTCCCATTTGAGCTTCCTTGTATAAGTTATGTCAGCTTTTTTCAGACCATTACTTTGTTTAATATTCCTTGTGTGATTTTTCTCAACTTTTACTGATCTACTCCTCTGATTTGTCAATAGATTGATACTTCATGTAATATTCCTTGTCTGATTTTCCCTAACTTTCACTAACTTTCTCTGATATGTTTCTCAGATTTGTCTGTGTCCAATCCTCTATATGGCTAATTCCCAAGTTTTACATACAGACATTTTCAGTTACTTCTGCTTCTATGACGATACTCAGCAGGATCCATAACTTAGGATGTAGTGTTGAGGAATCAACTTACACTATGATAATGACTGACAAAGAAAGCGGACAAAATATACAGTTCCTCAGGTAGACAAAGGAACATCCTTTCACTGCTATTATGTAAAAATGTGTAGAACAGGTGTCACATGCATATTCACTATTTAAATAATAGCAGTGAAGGGATGTACCTTTGTCTACCTGAGGAACTGTATATTTTGTCCACTTTCTTTGTCAGTCGTATTCATAGTGTTAGGTGCTCATTTGCAGTGCATGCTTGTTGGTGCATTTAAAAGGTTGTGCAAATAAAAATCTAGTTCTCAGTCTAGATTCTGGGTGGAAGCGCTCCCTTGAAGGCCTCCAATGAAGTAGCGTCAAGGGTGATCATAAGAACTAAAACCAGTTATTGTGAATAGTTAACTGATCTTCATTTCTTGTGCATAGCACAAGAAATAATGTGAAATGGCAAAGTTGTTCATTTTATACTCAAATTGAATTTTGTTTAATTTACTGATTATTTATTCACTGTACATTTGTTCACTGTACTTAACTGTATTTAAAACTGAAATAACCTAATTACTTCTACTTCTACTTCTACGACGATACTCAGCAGGATCCATAAGTCAGGATGTAGTGCATACCGGTATATAGTGCATGAAACCATTTAGCATTGTTCAAGTAGAAAAGAAATCTTCATAAATCATTATCTTCATTGTTCATTGGAACTGTGAATCATTCTGATTACAAAAAATGTACAAAGTTAAAGAGCATTCGTATGCTGCAGATGTTATAGATGTAACACACTTTCCATTCCAGCTTGATATTATTTTGTGAAAATCATTATAAATATTCTTTGAATTATATATTGCATCTTGTTGGGGAAAAAAGGTTTCAGAATTGGCTGTTTTTCAAAAGGCTGTAAAATTGTTCTTAAAAGCAAATAAGTCGACTTCTCACATGTCATCAAAATCAATCAATAATGCCCTGAATCAAAATTATGTTAACTAAGCAGTTATGTACTAGAAAGACATTTAATGAGAGGTAAAATACCATGGAAGATATATCCAAGATTCTTGCAGAAGAAATATTTGCATGGCACTATTTATTTGGCTTGCCACAAAAAGAATTGATAATATGCATTATTTGTTTATAGATTTCATTATAAGATGTGCAATTGCAAATAATATGGATGTACCTGTTACTCAGTCTAAATGATAGTAACATGTATCAGTCATACGTATAGGCAAGACAAATGTATAATGCTGAATTCTTCATTAATGTACAATGAAAATATGTCGCACACAGATTTTGCAATAAAATAATTTGAAAAATGCTAGAAAATTGCATAATTGTATTATTTTGTTGGTGTGCTTTCTGTAGCATTCTGGAGCATTCATGTACATGATTACAGTTCAAATTTTTTTTGATTGGCTATTTTTCTGTCTTCTTTCTCTTCATTCATTATTATTCTTTTGAAGATATAGTATTGCATCTCTCTCGTCTTTCACTTTTCAAATGTACTTTTATCTTCTTCTCTAAAATCAGACATTGTCTTCTCTTGGAAAATGGTACATGTCCTTGTTGCACATGCAGGCGAATCATACCGCAATAAAGACAATGGTTGATGAAATAATGGATATATTGATACTGGGGCAGATACAGGATTGCCAGTAGGGGGGGGGGGGGGCAGATGTGCAGAAGAGGTTTCTCTCTATCCAGCATCATTTTAAATATGTATGTCGTATATATCATTTTAAATATAGACTTGCTCAAGCAGGGGGATGGGATGGGGGGGGGGGGGGAGGGGGTATGCTGGAGTAAGAGTAACTTCTTCTAGACATGATTTTAATTTTGTCATATAAAGGGGAGTGGGTGGTGGCTTTAGTCCTTTCCGCCTATCAGGCTTCTATCTGTTCATATAGCAAAGAGACCGTCGGTCCTGTGTGCTACACATGTACACCACCATTACAGCCAACAATGATCTACTAGGAGTTATCTTGAATTGATGTGATTTGAAAGAAGATCAAACTTGAAAATATCAATGCATAAAGTCTTCCTGATTTAGGTCCCGAATCTTTATATAAATGTGTACGATTTCTTGTCAATGTAAGAATTTTTGGGCTAAATTTACCAAAGAAAATTGGTTTTAAGAGAGCAATATTTTTATCCACAGAATACCTGAGAATATGCTTTGATATATACCATAATAATGATAATAATAATAATAATATTTAATCTTTTAAAGTCCACTCAAAATTTTATTAAGTTAAACCGAAAAAGGAAATTCTTTTTGCCCAATTGATCGTGAGCCCGGCAGCCACTGAGCAGCGCCAGATCGACATTGCTCTATCCCTTATTGTTGAACGCCAAACAAGGTAGCAGCAACTCCCATCTTTTAACGTCTTTTGGTATGACGCGGCCGGGGTCGAACCCACGACCTCCCGGTTGTGAGGCGGACGCTCTACTGACTGAGCCAACACACCGGTAATCTGAGATTTGGGTATTGCTTTGAAATTGGGTCACGTCTTGCATTTCATCACCATTCTGATCTGCATCGATAGACAATTTTAAACCATTGTTACTATAATCAATGTCATATATATACATGTACATCACTTCAATTCCGTTAAAAATTCATGCAATTGTATATACAAAGTCATCCAGTCATAAAGCATCTGCCTTTCTCTTTCTCTGAGATTTTAGCTTCTCTTTCAGTCTTTCAATATCTTCTTTCAGACGTGCATTTTCCTCTTTCCTTTTGGTTATCCTCCTCGTAAAGTCCTCTTCTGACAATGGAAGAATCACAAATGTCTCCCCTTTTTTAACATCACCTCCCTCGGCCTTGGCACATTGTCCTTGATGGCTATTCATGAGCTCCTGTGTAGGGTGTGCCTTCTCACAGTCTTCCTCTGTGTTTGACTGATTCTTCTCCTTCTTTTCTTTACTATCTCTCTTTTTATGATGATCTACGATATCAGAATCGGCCGGACCTACATCTCTTCCCTGAGTCTTGGTATTGCTTTGAAATTGGGTCACACCATCTTGTTCACCATCCTGATCTGCATCCATGCGAAGCTTTTTCTTAGTGAAATGGGATGGAAGAGGCATGGGATCAGCATACGTTGATTCACTCACGTTCCAGTGAAATCTAGTTGGACCAGCTTCAAAACCATCTGGAAAATGCCAGCTGCAGACGCGGGTATTTGCTGTTGGGGTGAAGTTGTCTCGTCTATAAGAATATGATTGGGAAAAAAAAAAAATCTATTCGGTTTAAAAGCATTTTATTGTTAAAAATGATAGCCTTTATCTTCCAAATATTGTTACTGTTACTGTAGCTGTAGTAGACCGAAAATCTGTCTCTTTCGTTCATTAGCCTCTGATTTGGGTAGGGCGGCTAACGAACGAAAGAGACATAAAATTCGGTCTATAGCTGTAGCTTCAGCTAATTGAAGCACTTTTTTTGCATTGAACAAAACTTGCAAAATAATGACATTGATATCACATTTCAACCACAAAGGCATATCTCCAATTAATCAAATTTTCTTTAAAACATAACTTTGATCATTGATACTATATGATTATGATTATCATCATCAACAGAGAGATAGATAGGAGAAGGACTAATTAGCAGATCTCAAGCCCAGCAAAGGCAATTTCAATGGAGCATATCCCTGAATGAAACTGACTAATTTCTTTACCTAAATCCTATTTAATCAGCATAAATACCATATTATAGCATTATATTTTCACATTTATTTTCGCATTTCGTTATTTAATCTCAATTACAACACAGTGTAACATGGTATACAAGTTTACAAAAACTTCAGCATTGAACAAATTACAAGTTGTAATAATACAACAGCAAACAACATGTCTAAATGTCATGGCCACGGCGTTGGTATATTACCTTATCAAATTCAGCCATAATTTTCTCTTTTCTTGACATGCTGGGAAGCGATGAAATGAGTATCTTCTCTGTCCACTTCCCCCACTTCGATTTTTACAAAGTGGAACACAACAACCCGGCATTTTTGCTATGATTTTGATAAATTAACTTGTAATATATGGAGGACCCGGAAGTATCTTCAATCAGCTGGACTTTCCTATTTTTCTTACGTAGACTCAATTCGAGCGCTTTGTATAATTTGCGTAGGGATGCTGCATGTTCTGGTACGTACGAGAATATTATAAATAGCTGCGATTGAGTCTAGGTTCTAACCGCACGTGAATTACCCTACAAACATAATTTTTGACATGTTCACTGCGAGAAGTATTTGCCGTCTTGTCTCTTTTCAGCAAATTAGACAGCTGAATGTCACAGGAGGAATGGCATCTTCCAAGAAAAATGATCTAGAAGTGAATCACAGCTTAGATAGACAGGAGTTTTTCATCGAACTCGGTGAGTCAAGCGACGTACAGGCAGGGGCAGGCCAGGGTTGGGGTATGTGGTCCGTCAGTGTTTAGGGCATTGGTATCGGTCGCTTGCTCATTAACCCTGCCTAAGCTCTGGCATAGCTCCTACGCGACGCGACGTTGTGTGTTAATGTGAGAGAAAGATACACACCTGTGACACCCAAGGGCGTCGCTAGAGGGAGGGGGGGGGGGGGTGGGGGGTGCGGGGGTGCGACACCTACTTAACAGGATATTGTCGGTAAAATTACGCTGCCGTCAGGAATAATGAGAGGGAAAGAAAAGAAAAGAAAAGAAAAGAAAGGAAAGAGAAGATGAAGAGATGAATGAAAAAGAGAAAGGAGAGGGGAAAAAAAGGAGAAAAGGAAAGAAAGAGAAAGGAGAGGAAAAAAAAGGAAAAGAAAACGAAGGAAAAGAATGATAAGAAAGAAAAGGAAAAAAGAAGAGAAAATGACACAAAAGTACCAGGGGGGTGAAAGAGAGGAGACTCGGGAGAGAGAGGGGGTAAGAGCATGAGAGAGAAGGGGTAGGAGTTGTTGGGTGGAGTCGTCTCGTCCTTGTGTACTATATCAATGCAGAATTATTTTTTCCTTGAGCTGTGACTTTTTATCCGCTGTGACGACTTTAAGAGAGACTATACAACTATACTACTTGTATTTTCTCGAATTTTCACCAGCAATCATTAAAAATCAATGTCATTGACAACATTACTATAATATCAACAAAAGAAAAAAATGGGGGTTCAAACGTCGCCCCATTGAGCTTTCCAATCAAGCCAGTGACGCCACACCGAATAGTTGCACACTGGGGTTGCGATTTGTGTATATCGGTAGCTACGATGCTGACTAGTCTTGACAAAATGACCGTATATTTATGAGGACAAGGAAAATGACCATGTGCACAGGTATAGATAGTTTGTAGGAAAATTAGGCCCTGGCCCCGGGTTTATAGAATTTAATTTATAGACATTGGCATTAATGTAGTTGACAATAATTGGTGGCTAGTTTAGTCGGTAATCGGTGGCCTCTTAAAATTGAGCTTTTTTAAAGTTTTAGGAGGCAATTTGTGTAGCTTTTAAATTATTTTTGAAGGAAAGGAATTAAGAAGTTTACTTATAATTTATACCATTATAAATGTCTAAAGTACTAAACCTGCTAAAATATTGAATTGAATGACTTTTAGCCATGGATTAGAAAATTGTGTGTGTAGCTTTTGGACCCTGTTATTGTTAATTATGAATGTTAACTCGATTCATTTGCAATGGCTGTATAATTATAGCAAGTGCACACAAACGAAAAACAGAAAATATTAAATTCATTTTGAACTTGTCAAAGGTTTAGAGACCAAATCAGCATTCTGAAATATGTCAATTTGTCAAACAATCCTGGAGTGACGACACTGAACAACTGAAGAGAGATTAAGCTTCCCTTCAGCTCTTAGACATAATGTGAAAAGATCATCCAAGATCCAATTCTCTTCCCCTTATTTGCATACCTGGAATATTGATCTTTCAGATCCGCCAGACAGAGGAGTACTGGACTATGATCTGCTATCTGATGGGACGGTTGATATGCATCATACAGGGGTTCCAACGTCTTACAGAGGGAGGGGCATTGCTGGCCAGCTGGCAAAGGTATGATGTATTTGAGTGGTTTAGATATATTTCCTGCTTTCATCTCTTAATATTGATATTAACAGAGCTCATAGCAAACTATTTTCATTGGTATTGCAATAAATAATTTGATTTGATAAATTGGAAAGAGTAAGAATAGATGTGATTTTAAAAAAAATAGATATCAATGTACGCTGTTATAATGAAGTTTCATAGAAAAATCAGGTATACTATTTAAGTCTTTCATGCAGTCAGTTATAAATGGGGCAAAACATTTTGCCCAAAGTAAGGATATATCATTGGTTCTCTGCCTTTCACACTTTTTTGCTAATTATTTCACCCCATGCCATTTTTTTGTCACATTACAGGCAGCCTTCTCTCACTTCACTTCAGAGCGTACCAAGATGCTATTAACCTGCACCTATCTACAGAAGTACTACAAGGATCATCCTGATGCCAGCCCTCCGGACCTTATTACTCTACCAAGCTAGCCCTCTCAAGCTAGCACTACCGGAGATGAGAAGAGAAGTGGTACAGAAACAGAGGTCAGCAATGAGATAATGAATCAATATAGAGTGCAGAGCTTTGGAGGACAGAAATCTGAAAAGTGATTAAAAAGATTATGCAATCAAAAGAAGAGTGATTGCATCTCAGGGAATATTATATAAAATTGATGGTCAAAGAAAAGAAGATATAAATACGAAAAGCGAATGAAATGGTCAGGTTTACAGAGACAGGGTATATTTATTGTCCCATGATTTGAGGTGAATCAGCTGTTTCAGTAATAAGAAATGACCAATGATTATTTGAAAGGCAATCGTGAAATAACATGAATGTTTTAGACATGTGGTGGTAAGCACAAACACTTTGGATGGTTTTATTATATAAGACCAATCACAATATTTAAAATAAAAGAGCTATTTTATAAAGTCAATTAATGATAATAAATAGGAACAAAATGGAAACTTATAGTTAAGTTATGAGAGGTTTTTAAAGAGCCATAAAAGAGCCAGCTGAATATCTTTTGTTATACAGTATTACTGTGTATTACAATGTGATTCTTCAGGAAACGATGCCAAGTATATTTTACATTTTCAACAATGTTATTTTGAACAACTCTTTAAAATATTTCACTTCAACAAGACATGCAACTGATGCAAGCAGTGACATTCTTCACTCATTTTTATGGTAAATAATTGTTTACTCATGATTTTTTGCTGACGTTTCTAATTCATGAACTGTTATCATAATATCTTTGTAAATGTAAGTATAGAAATTGTGTATCACTGACAATCAAAGTTAAGCCTTTTGTATTCCTAAAAAATAACCAGTTGGCCAGTATTATACCTTATCATTTTCAACCATCAAACTATTGATACCTGATCAAAACACCAAACTTAAAGACTGAGTGTTGTGAAATCTTTTGATGATTGTTTGATATACAGTTCAGAGTTGGATTAAAGTGGAAAGGAAAGCCTGCAGAATTAATACAAACAATTTGGAAACAAGGAAACTTGAATTAATTCACTGCAAAATTAATTAAATGAATCGTATATACTGTACCAGCAAAAGGCCCTTTTCATTGGCAATATCTTTATTTCCAGTAACTTTATATTAAGAATTGTGCAGACTGCAGAGTGTGTGTTAAGAAAGGGAAAAGTAAAATATTCCTATTTATTACCATATATATGCATGTGTTATGTGTGTGAAAATATGTTTTTAGATCGGTATACATCAAACATTTTCTGTCCTTTTCAAAATTGTTATTGGAATGGCACTAAAACTGGGGGAAAATATTGAAATGTACATGATGTAGCACACGTTGCATTGATAAAATTACAGGTTGTCAATTGGGAAATTCATGTTTTTTAAATTATGTTGAGAGAAATGAGTGAGAAAGATGCAACAGATTATTGAAATACCTTTATAAAAGCTTTGTGATCTTTAAAATGTAATAAAGAAATTATATATTTACAAATTATTTGCAATGGTTCCACCACAAATCTTGTCAAAGTTCTGTAATGCCATTTAGAGATTCTATCTGTGTTTTACCGTCACCAGAATTTTCATTTTAAGCATTTTCAATAAATTACGAAAACATCTTCACCTCCCAAAATTAAAATCAATGTCAACATTACCATGGTAATCAATGACTAACCTGATCATCTCCACTACAGAATTTCATCATTTGTATTTGAAACATTTACCTTGAGGTCCATGGCAATATAAGAATTATCATATATGAATAAATGCAATGGGAAAAGAGACAGAGAGATTATGTATGTGTGTCAATCTCAGTCTAAAATGCAAAATTTTCCAACTCTAAAGAGGCAAGGGGTATATCCCTTCCCGGCCCGTCAATCTGCCCCCTTAAATTTCGACCATCTAGTACAGTGATTTTCAACTGGGATACCACAAGAAAAATCAAAAATATGTTTTGGAATAATGTCAACTTCATGAAAAAGAAGTATCAGAAACTGTAAGATGCCCAAATATATATCACTTTGGATATTTTGAGGAGGAAATAACATTTCAGAGATAGTAAAGTGTCTCTTTCCATGCTCGCTTCGCATTTGCAAAATTTAGTTGCAGGCAGTTTCGGCCCAAATGTCAAGATTCGAGTAGCATGGTGTCCAAATATAACCTTATTTATTAATTTTTATGCCTCCGCCACCGAAGGTGGTGCCGGAGGCATCATGTTTTCGGGTTGTCCGTCCGTACGTCCGTACGTCCGTCCCATTTGACCGTTATCACAATATCTCAAGAACCATTTAAGATTTAAACTTAAGACTCGGGAATAGTATTTATCACCATAGGAAGACGATCTGATTAGATTTTGGAGTACGTAGGTCAAAGGTCACAGGTCACAGAGGTCAACTTATGAAATTCCTTGTATTGAGTTTGTTAGCGCGATATCTCAAGAACCATTTGAGATTTAAACTTCAAACTTAAGGATAGTATGTATCACCATAGGAAGACGATCTGATTAGATTTTGGAGCACGTATGTCAAAGGTCAAGGGCCACAGAGGTCAACTTATGAAATTCCATACATTGAGATTGTTATCATGATATCTCAAGAACCACTGGAGATTTAAACTTCAAACTTAGTGATAGTGTGTATCACTATAGGAAAACAATCTGATTACATTTTGGAGCACGAAGGTCAAAGGTCAAGGGTCATAGAGGTCAACTTATGAAATTCCATACATTGAGATTGTTATCATGATATCTCAAGAACCACTGGAGATGTAAAAACTTCAAACTTAAAGATAGTATGTATCACCATAGGAAGACGATCTGATTAGATTTTGGAGCACGTAGGTCAAAGGTCAAGGGTCACAGAGGTCAACTTATGAAATTCCATACATTGAGATTGTTATCATAATATCTCAAGAACCACTGGAGATTTAAACTTCAAACTTAATGATAGTGTGTATCACCATAGGAAGACAATCTGATTAGATTTTGGAGCACGTAGGTCAAAGGTCAAGGGTCACAGAGGTCAACTTATGAAATTCCATACATTGAGATCGTTATCGCGATATCTCAAGAACCACTGGAGAATTTTCACTTCAAACTTAATGATAGTATGTATCACCATATCATAATATCTCAAGAACCACTGGAGATTTAAACTTCAAACTTAATGATAGTGTGTATCACCATAGGAAGACAATCTGATTAGATTTTGGAGCACGTAGGTCAAAGGTCAAGGGTCACAGAGGTCAACTTATGAAATTCCATACATTGAGATTGTTATCATGATATCTCAAGAACCACTGGAGATTTAAACTCCAAACTTGTTTAAATTGCTCTATGGCGGAGGCATCATTTTCGACTGCGCGCAGTCAAAATTCCATCTAGTTTTATATCAAAATGAAATTTATACCACAACAAAGTGTCTTTTTCTTCCTCTCGTTCGCTTCACTTCTTGCAAAATTGATGAATTAGGTCGATTCATGGCAACGAGATGACTGAATATAATTGTAAATTTTATCTAGTGTATATTGATTAATAAATACAAATTTTACCATAATAAAAGTCGCCCGCTAACAATCTTTCGGCTATGGTACTGTAAACATCAATAATCATCTATCATCACCATCAATTATTGTCAACAATTATCAACAACAATAATCCATATCATCATCATGCACCAACATGATTATGTAATCGGCAATCATCAACAAGATTATCAACACCAAAAACCTCTAACACAGCACCTCCACATCAAAAATATTAGCAAGCAAGATACTGCCGCAGTGATTCTCTCTGAAATAAAGACTTCTTTTCACACCAGTACATTTTAGTGATGCCAACAGCAAGCTTTTATTATATCCTTTAATCCCGGTCGAGCATGTGTCGATAAATTGCCAATATCTGTGAAGCATGGATCTGTATAACAACCTACGATTACCTTATTGCACCCAAATTAAAGCACGATTGAAATCAATACTTGCATTACTCATTCTTATAAATATTGGCTCAGAACTGATGTTTACTAACTTCAGTTTAGACAGACCATCTGCTTGTACATGTTTGCATACATTATCAATACCAAAAACCAATTGAATTCAATGATTCATCTAGTCCACACCTCTGTATTTTCCTCATGTATTTCAACAAGAGGAAGCACATTATGGTACACATATTTTGTATTCAAACTATAATCTGTCATTTTATGCTTCCATTGCCGAGGTATATTGGTAGTCAGGTACTACAAAATTGTTCAGGATGTCTTTTGAAATTAAAAAAATTATCCAGGAGCTTAAAATAATAATTTGTATTCTTGACCCCAGCACAATCAGGATTTTGGGGCATAAATTACACTTATTGTTGAATTTAGTTCCTGCTTGAACAGAAGGCAGGAATTGATAAGGGTGCTGAGAAATCATTTGCCCATCAAAAACATCCATTTAATATGATCTTACGGTTTCCATAATGGAACAGCGTTTAGTAGGGCAAGAGGAATTCATACCCAAATTTGAATACATAGAGACCACGCTAGATCTGTTGTGCAAAATTAAATCAAATACTGTAGATTTCTTTTTCAAGTGAATGCTGAATGTAGATAAAGCAAGTAATTTACATCTTTAAAAAAAGTCAAAGTGATGAAACTTCATTAAAAAGAACTCAACTGAAAAAAAGTAACAATGGACTATTCGGAATACACAAGTTAACTGTAAAATACAATGTTTTTAGCGACTGAGTATATGTGCTATTCTTCAAATTCATGAATAGCATTCCGGATGGGAAATAACATCATGAAATATATATATATGTGCATGCATGAACTAATATTACGAAGGTAGTATCGAATTCAAGACACAGAATGCCATATAATATATGCCATTACAAAGAGGGTGCAACATATGAAACAGCAGGTGAAGGGTGTATATCTCTGATTTAACCCCGATTTATATCAGATTCCACTATAAGAGCCGGACAATTTTTTCCCTTTCATTCTTGATAATAAAGTAATGTTCTGAATATTTCAGCCTCTCCTGTTACGTCTATTTGACAGTTTTTATATATTCTTTTTACTTTTTCTTGTGATGGGTCTGAAAGAATAAACATAAGGGTAAACACATGTGCAATAGTCGTGTAATTTGCAAAATATATATCGTAATCCTGTTTCATATGGCATAAACAGTGCTTCTTTTCAACAATGATATACAGAAAATATTAACTACCGGTATATGTCCACTTAGCTGTGTTTTTCTCAATGTTGTAGAGAATCCAATTGACAGCACGTGACAAATATGCTGAGATTTCTCCTGACATCACTATTAATTTTTTTTTTCTTCAATATGCACTATAAAACCTTCACCAAAAACACATTTCACAGAAATACAACCAAAAGGGGGGAAGGAGAAAAAGAGGAAATACTTTCCTTCATCCTTTGATTTAAGGCTTATTTTTTTAAAGATTACTAAACCACTGAAAGATGACATTATAAAACCCATACAAAACCATTACTAATTATGAAGAATTAAACTAAAATCTATAGCAGGTCTGGACAATTCTACAAAATAAATTCTCTTTATCAAAGACGACCCATGCTAAAATATTGATATTATGTTAATGGTCACTTCACTATCCTGAAAATGTATATATTGTTATACAGATCTTCTTGCACTTTTACCGAAGATGTATAAAAATGAATTATATTTATAAAGAATCTTCAAACAGTTGCTATTTTCTTATCTTCAACATATTCCAGGTAAAATTTTTAAAAATCCTAAAATTTGAACACATATCATCAAAATCCTAGGGGCAAACTACATTTTTTTCAATATTGATCAAAGCATGTCTTTTTCTTAATCTTATATCTAATGGTATGAAAGTGGAATAAAAAATTAGCTGGGAATAAATCAATAAAAATAGACAATTCTTAAAATGGAGGGAAAAAATGCAGGTAATGAAAATTCCTTTCCATGAAACAGAATCGGACATCTATACCAACAATAACCACACTAATTATTCACAATTTTTGTTTCGCTTCTCAGTCCCAAAAACTTACAAAGGCACAAATTACATGGAATAAACTCATATGTGCAACATTTTTTTGTCAATTTTGAAGTACAGTATAGGTGCATATTTCTTTAAGTGCTTGAAGTAATTCATCAAATCTTTGTCAAGGAAGTTCAAGTCAACAGGGGTATATCCATCCAATAATATCAATTTTAAAAGGTATAGCTTGATCTTTAATTCAAAGCTTATTAAACATGATTTCTTAGAATGTTTAGAACTAGAAAAGGAAGCCGAAATACAATACTTCTTCACTCAAAACAAACACTTTTAGCTTTTTTATACATCCACCAAAATGAGTATTCTTTGCTTTGATAATTAAAAGAAACTATATCAACAATAGTCATCAATGTTTAAAATTTTATAAAAGAAAAGGACTATCTTATATTAATGTACATAAATTAAATCGGCCGATAAGATTTAAAAATTGTACTTGTCTCCATATCTTTTACAGTTTATCAATATTAATTGCTAAAAATGAACCCTTTCCTCCAGTATTTCAATTATTAGGTACAATAATATGCTGTGTTCTTCCCCATCCTTTATTCAAAATCATTTCCCAAATCAAACAATTGACTTTATAATTTGTCACAAGTCATTAATTAATTGATTAGATATTGATTCTTCTTTTTCTTAAGATTTTCAAATTACATTTTGATTATAACCAAGATAAAAATGGAGTACCATCTGCAAGTCATAACAGGGTGGTTGTTTAAGAAAGGGTCAATCTAAAATTCATTTGTTACCAGCTATATGTACAGTTCTCAAGAACCTTCAATGTATTCAGAATTCAGAATTTTATATCGGTTCTGGAATCATTTGATGCTGGATACTAAAATGTGAGACCTTGTACAAGATAATTGACTAAAAATATTGATTCAAAATGGTATGCAAAAGATAACAAGATCAAATACAAATATCAAAAATATAACAATGGAATATTATTTGTTGCCTCTAATATGGTATGGGTGACCAGTTTAGCTTATATATTTAATTAAAAACCTAAACACCATGCATTGTCATGGATATTCTTTTAAATGTTTCCGTTCATTCTTACATCAACAACATTTCTGCATTGATATATAATCTTACTATAAAATCCTTAGATTGAGATATCGCTCAGGGTATTACAAACAAAATATGAATGCAGTAATTGCCCAGAATTACCTATATTAAATGATAGCTACATTCTTATATTTTTAAATTTAACTTACTTTTTTTGCAATGGCATAAAGCAATTAGATAAGAATAGAAAGAAAGAAAAAAAGGAAAAATGTACATTGATTAACAAATATGCACATTCATACTCCTTATCAGTACTGGGAATATCTTGTAAAGATACCATACATCTGCCCTCGAAAGACAACACGTTTTCTTTCATTTAAGTATTAATACCACAGAACTCTACTAGTTTATAACTATGTCTATTTCTATACTACTGGTACTGAATGGTAGTAACCTGTTAGATTTAGGGTTAGTACATTTCCTAAACACTATCAGTCAGATATTTGACATTTGTCCGTCTTGTAATAAATTAATAATATATAGCTCTCTTCACCCTCAAAGGGTGGGATATATGATATGTGATATAGTCCAATTTGTGGCAATAAACTATAAAATAGACACTTTTTCTATATTAAATAATCAAGATATATGTTTGCATTTTTAAGTGCACTTTTGATTGAAATCTGTTAGATATTATAAGGCCATTCAGAATAGTGATCTGATGATACAAATTCATACACATTTCAAAGATAAATGGTACTATGGCATTCCTACCATTTATGACCATAATCATGTCCACTTTCAAAGTGAAGGTATAATACAGCACAACATTGATTTCAAATAAGCCAGTATGTGAATTTAGAGCAACATTTACGAGCACAAAATATAGTGTTTACAATTTTTTAGAAAAATTTAAATCTGAAAATGACTAAATGTTATATTTGATTTATAAGGGGGTGAAAAAGTCTTCAAGATCCATGTAAACAATGTATCAAAATTACAAGACTACAATGACATAAATTTAATGAGAATTTAATTCCATCAACAGAAATGTCAGAACTAATCTTCTATTATATTCTATGAACAGATCACTAAAGTGAGAAAGTTAAATGCATTTTTCAAACTGTTTATTTAGCTTCATATCTTTAATAAAGTTTATAGTACAGAGTTAAAAAAAAAAACACAGGATGAATTGTTGATCCATAATCTCATCATGCAACAATACATTGAAAACATACAAGCACCAAATTTGTGATCAGAGAATTGCATGAAATTATCACCATCTTTTGAAAGAGGGCAAAAATCATGCACATGTAATATGAAGCTACCACCGCATTTCATGCAAAATGATTGAAAAATGATTGACAAATATTGTTTTGATCTCTAAGTTAATAGCTCTGTGAGACTTTTAACTCTCTAGAACACAACCTCTGCAAAAGAGTCATATACAGATGCCAGCAGCTACCATTATAAATGCACACTGCGTAAAGTTGGTGGCAAGAAAAGAAACCATGGCAGTTGAAAAAAGCTCACAAATTGGTCCCTCATACACTGCAGCTCTAATCCAATCTAATCACATTTGAACTTTTGGTCACCTCCAAATACTGCAGGATGCACTGAGCTGAATTCACATTTTACCATTCAATAATTTCCAATGATACAACCTAGTACATTGTACAAGAAGGCCCAATAACCCACAACTGAACAAACTGGTCATTCATTCAAGGTATAACATATTTTTACAAAGCCGTGATCATCCTCTGATTTAAAACTTTGTTGACCATCCTTGTTGCCAATTTGGGTGTTGTGGTCACCTATAATTCATTGGTCTTGGACTTGGTGTTGCGCATGAGAGGCTTGTGGTCACTAATCTGAGAGAGGGAATGTTGCCAAAACCAGCAGGAGCGGCAGAAGTACTTGAAGCACGTAGTCTCCCGGCAGAAGAACGGACCAGGCTGGGTATGGCACAGGGTACATAGGGAGTCCTCCAGATACGGATCTATTTGAACCTGAAGAAATGAATGGAATGTGACAGAAAAGTTTAGAAGAAAGGAGGGTTAATGAAGGAGAAATAGATGGGACAGAATGTCAACAACATTTAGAAATGGATGAACTTTGTTCATTTTTTCACAATGAGATACATAGAAGTATACATTCTCAAGATGTTCCACTGTAAGTACCAATACACAACCATCAATACAACTTTTCTATCTATAGTTTAAAACTTATTCACTATTTACTTTACTGACATCTAACAAGTTAAGAGAATATCTGTTGTGTAGTTAAGGTATTCCAATATGGTTTTAGGGGAGGGATGCAGGGGGAATGCATTCTGGAAACACCATTGCATACATTCCAATACGATCACTTACCTTTTTAGTAAACTTAGCAGTCTTGATTTCAACAAATGCTGCTGCAACAGCCTTCATGTAACTGTTGGTGTTGTTAAAAGTCACTCGTCCTGAACCTTCATAAATACAAAAATAAGGTATGCCAGTATTACATTCATATCAATTTTTATTGTGGGATGAGGCAAAAGAAAACCCAAGTGTATTTTCATATCTTTACTGAATAGCTTCAACTAATTATCACACATTGTAAATCAGCGTTCCTTTGCTTCTCTTTATTAAAGTATCATATTAGGAAGAGCCTCTGTACATCAAGGATCTTGGTAAACACTAACAATGATGTTCATCCTCTTAATATTATCCGTGTATAAAATTCAGTAAAAAAACAGGGCATGGGGGTGGTGTGAAAACAGAGCTAAAGTAGTATGAACACAGTGTATCTTAACACAGTCAGTGTCCCAAATCTGTTTTGGCTACATTGTTCTGTACACACTAATCCCCTCCTCTAGATAGTGTGTCTACATGTTAGCTGAGTGTGAACATATCAGTGTATGACAAAAGTGTGAACATCTTCTGATTAATGTACTGTGAAATCAGTGTAATCAGTGTGGAATAGCTGTGAACAGCATGGAAATGTGACTATATAGTGTTGAAATGCTATAAACACAGTGTGGATAAAGTGACAAGAGTGAGGAGGAGTTGAATACAATGGGGAATCATTGTGACCACAGTGTGACATAACTGAACAGTGTGGAAATAGTGTGACCACACTATGGAAATGATGTGAACACAAAGAGTGTACCACAGTGTGGAGTAGCTATGAACATAGCAGGGAAACAGAAACCACACTACAGAGATGTGTGCAGAGTTGAAACAGTGTAACCTAAGTGTGGATATGAAGCGAACTGTTTGTAGAAACAATGTGACCAGTGTGGAAACATTTCTTATAGTTAAGGTATTGTGTGAACACAGTGCAGCTTAGGAATAATATTACCACAGTATAAAATGTTGGGAATGCAGTGCGACTACAGTTTCAAATATTAACACAGTGCAGAGTGGAAATAGAATAACCACAGTGTAGAAATAGAGAACACATTTTAAACAGTATTACCAACACTGTAAACATGTTTGATTGTTATCCCTGTCATTATAAAGAATTGTTTTGTTTTCTCATACAATCTCTTATACTATTCCATAAAGGCACTGACACTGCTTTGCAAAAGCAATATTTTGTCTGACAAATTCTATATAAATTTGTAATAAAAGACCTACCAATGGGGTACTTGTGTTTATCTGTATCAATACCAGCATACACGACCCCTCCAAACAGGTCATTCATGAGATGGGCTAGTCCTTCAGCATTGAGCATCCCATGAAGAGCACCGACGAACACAGTCTTGTCTGGATCAAGACGCTGGGATGGGCAGCGAACGTAGTTGCTGTCAGATAGCACCCATGGAATAACTTGAACCTACATTAGGAAATGTATACAAATTACATTAATTTAGGCTTTGTAAAAGCAATATGCATTATTTTCTCCAAAGATCACATATTTTAAGAAAAAAGGAATTTAAATAATCACTACCGGTAGTCAAAAATCTCTAATCAATGCTGAAATTATTGGGAAAATTTCCCCAGTCAATTTGTAATTTGTTTATCTGCTATTTTCTTTATTTTCCTCCACTGGACAGTTATTTAATATTATGTCCATGTCAAGATTAGATATTGTATGATGCCATCATTCTGAATCTCCACTTTGCTGACCTTCTCTTTATGACTTTACAACAATCTTCTGCTCTCTTTTTCTCTTCCTCAACCCTCATAATCTGTATCTTGTACTCCTCTGACTCTCTCTATTCTCTTCTTTCTCCTTCTTCCTCTTATTCCCTGCCTCACAATCAATCGATATGGGTATATTTCCCATTTTAGACTCAGTTTATGCTTTGATATTGATATTGATGGTATGTATCATATTTTTCTTTGTCAGAATGTCTTCTTACCTCTTTGCTTCTCATCCTCCTGCTTGTTATCTTGTAGTAATACTCTCCTCTGCCACTCATGTCATGTGTGCAGGATTGTAGCAAAGCCTTCACTGCCTTCTCAGACTCGAACAGCACATACACATACCCTGAAAGAACAAGACATAGATTGAATTACATGCGGGTACCTCCATTGTGATGGATTTGCTCTGTGGTCAATTTCCTACACCAACCACATTCCTAACTTCAACCGTGAACCAAATACTCTGCCTAAACCTAACCCTACACATAACCTAATAGTTTACCCAGAAAAGCCTCATCAGCATCAATGCTGTTCTTTAGGAGGGCTCTGCAATTATTATTACCTCAGCAATTTCCAAGTACCCATTTGTTAACACCCGATTGGAGAGTGGCAAATGCAGATTAATGTCTTGCCAAAGGACATCAGTGCCGGGTGAACTATCCTATGTAAAGGATAGTTTTCACAGAATGTTTATCTGTGCCTTGATCAAATAATTATGCCGGGGAATTGTCAGTGTATGAATGCAGAGAAATATATGCTAAAATGCAGGGAATTATCATACGATCACATAACAGATAACAATCAATCCTGTTTGAAGAGTGATTTCCCTTGGTTCATTTATATTACATACATACCAAAAAGCGACTTGTAAAGAGATGAACAGCTAAGGGGTGATCATGCAGTCAAACCATAATTGAAGTATTGGAAATGAAACCTTGTGGTTCATCTTTTCTATGTTGCTGTGCTATCTACTTTTGATGTGTACATGTTACTCTTAATTCATTTTAGATTTATTACATTTCATGGTTTCATTTTAAAGAAACTATCTTCAATTAGCAAGAATTTGCTAGTACACAGGTTGGTGTAGGCTGATACACAATATTACATCATGTGGCAATTATTAAACATGCCTTGATGCCGTAACATTTGAATATGTTTTTTCTTACCTCTTTTTACGAAATGATTAAGACAAATTAGTTTATTCTTGATAGATAAAATGTATATCTTCTCAGAACTTGATAGATCAATGTATTCAAAATTTATACACCAATCATAAATCAAATTGTCCCAATCATTTCATGAAAAGGTAAAATAAATTATATTCTAACTTTATGAGCAACAGTGTACATGTATTTGCAGAGAATGCATTTTAAAAAGAAACTGTGACCAATTCTTTGTGATATCCATTATTTGTTAAAGATCATGATTTTAACACAATCAACAAACACAAATTCATGGAAATTGCCATTAAATTATAAGAATGAACTAATATGCCATCTAAAAAGTTGCACAGAGTGGCAATGGCAGGTCTTAGTATACACACCGTTCTCCACACAATGAACTCTCCCTGACATCCAGAAACTATTTCAACTTCACCACTGTACGCAGGGTCAGTCTTTCTACACTTAATATTGCCCTGGCACCAACCCGCCTGAATAAACAATTAATTGGGTCTGTATTGTTTCTGTAACTCGTGCACACCGACTCCAGAGGATATCGATGTAAAAGTCATTAAGACGCAGAGAAAAGAAGGTACAGAGCATTCTGCGGCTGAGGCTCGTACCCAGAATCGAGGGTGAACAACATGCCCCGAATTACAAGAGAGGTGTGATGTACCAGACAATAATTATCTCCAAGTCAGTGTTCAAAGCAAAATCGGTCTGCTCGATATAAACCATTCACCATAGGTAAAAACGCAATGTGCAATGCAAAGAATTGGAAAATTATGCTTCTGATCAGAAATTGACCAATGGAGAAAATCCGATATGTATAACATGAATATACTATAGTAACTCTGTTCAATAACATACTCTGTGTAATCCAACTACATACTGCTTTCTAATAATTCCATTTTCTTTGAAGAACATATTAAGGAAATGTATGAACCTCTTCAAGTTTAAGATGATTGGACTGACATAAAAGGAAAACAAATATTTTTAGCAAATGCTTTTAGTCCCTCCACTCATTATCTAACAAGCTACAATACATGATCACAAATACTTTTACAAATCATATTCTGCATCTGCATTCTGCATCTGGAATATGTACATATAATTGCAAAGCTTTGTGTTGATGTAGAGAGTGCAGCCCAAACAGTAACGCAAAACCACGATATACCATTACAGGTCAGGGAGAACCATTTTTATTAGCAAGCGTGCCAGCCTGCAACATGGGAATTGAGCCATGTGGGCACGAGACAAGAAACAGGATATTCCATCGGGAGCAGAAATATCAAATATTGGTACGGGGGAGTGACGACAACCAAATTTAGACACATCTTGCCAGCTTGTGAAGGAGGAGGAGGAGATCACAGACTCCTATTATTTTAGCTCAATTTGCTTGAACACAATATCCTGTCATTCACATATCTTACTTCCCTATTTCGAGAAAAAAATGAAAAGTTTAAAGTGATTGTGCTTCTTGTAGAAATGCTATAGTGTGATGATTGGTACATGTATGCCTGTCTAAGATTATCATTGAAGTTTACACAACAAAAATATTGCCATTCTTGCTACAATTAATTAAACCCAAATGCTGAACTGTGTCTTTAGGTAACATAAAATATTACTATCATTATTTTAAGATATGCTTAATTGAAGGACAGTATGATAATTAGGGGGAGATACAATCAACTAACTCTATTTGCTATAGTGTCCTGGTATTATTTTTTAAGTGATATTACATGAAAGGAATTAAAATTTCTATGTCTCTGAACAAAATCGTACATTTTTTATAAAAATTTTTCACAGCTTTTGGCTGAAAATCAATAATAATGTTATTGACCATGGACGCTAAAGTTTAGATATAATCCATATCTTCAAGGAGCTTCAATCTTGATAGCATAGCTTGAATCACTGTCCTTGGCAGTCTACGTGAACTCTGCATGATCAAAAACACAGAAGCAGGACCAATAGAGTTACAGGATGTCTCTGAGAAAATATGCACCAACTCGATTGGATTGTAGGCACATATCTTGGATTTCTAGCAGGAAATTATGAGGATATTTGAGATTTGAACAGAAGTGAACCCCTCAACCTCAACCTAAATTATCTATTTAACATTGAAAACCATTGTTTGTTGATAATAATATAATAATAATAATAATAATATCGAATATTTAGGAGCGCTAAAAACAATAAGTACCATAGCGCTTACAAATACAAATATATGTAAAGAGGACAAGAAAGTACAGTACAGGAAGTATATCACATAGATCATTGGGGAAAAGGTGAGTTTTTAGTGATCTGATAGTGGAAAAAGTAATGTAATGCTAGATTTATATTGACAATATGTCCTACATTATTTTAGCACTTGTTATTATTCTTCCAAGACTGAAATTTCACAACTGAACTAATCCCCAAAAAGGGGTTTTGAGTAATTATCATTGAATCATATACAGCAATTATTAGGTACAAACTGAAATAATGATGTGAGTAATCTTAATTATATACTGATAGTACCTCTTCATTCTAAATTAAAATATAGAGTATAGAAATGAAGATTTCAAATTGCATTAAATCACTGAGGTCTTGATAAAAAGCAGATTTAAGGTTGAACAAGAACTAAAATTAGCTTCATGCGATCTTATAGTGTATAATATTATTTTTGTTAGGGGGGGGGCACTTAAAATGATTGTATATTAAAGTTTAATAGTTGACCTATGAAATAATTTTGTTATGCATATAAAAACAAAATTTAAAAATCTTATGTTTAAGCATATATCCATTGTGCAGAGACATTACATCAGAACAGATAGTGTGGGGGGGGGGGGGGGGGGTGGATTCTGAACCCCAAGTTACAAGAACTATGCTGTATGTGAATATCATTCAGATACGATATTAGACTGTCTGGTATCTACTTCATTACTCTGTATTCATATGAATATCGTCTTTGATGAAACTAAAAGACATGAAATATGATGATTAAACACAAACCAGTATACATCACCACTTTTTTCAGTAAGAAATGGAAAAAAAATCCAAAAGTTTGGGATATTGACTGGTGAAAGCAGCAAATAATACTTGACCTATTGCCACACTCTCCTTTGTTCATTAAGTTCAGCCAGGTTTATCCTGAAAAAACAATGATAATGCAGCCATATCCCTTACTTTCATTATGAGTATGCCTGCTGTGCCACTACAAGTATAACTCAGAATAATGTATTCACTACAAACACTTATGAGAATTTAAACACTGGGCTTTTTTTTGCAATGTGTCCCCACACAACATTTTCTTTCATTTATCCTATAGTAGATTGTAAATTACCATTTCAGAATGTTAAGGATATACTAGAAAGATCAATCAGTAAACAATCATTTCAAGAGATTTTCATTCATAAATGAAATAAATGGATAAATGTCACATGCCATACAAGACACATTGCAGGGAATTACCCCTGAAGACCGATCTTGAAACCCTTTTGTATACACTATAGAAATCATGTTTAGATACTTGTATGCGTCATTGTAATGTTTGCACACTTCAGGGGGCCACAGACCCCCACACAAGGGTATTGAAATTGTCTGAAGTGGATTGTTTTCAAAGCCTTTGTCATATTTACAAAAATAATTTTGTCCAATATCAATCAATTCCCTTTATAACAAAAGAAAATAGGTAGCAAACCTTTCTTTAAAAGAATATAATATGTCCAAAAGGTACCGGTAACTTGAAAAACTATGGGTGGCAACAGTGATATTTCACTGATTTATAGTAAACTGTAATTTTCAGGTTACACATACAGGATATTAGAATTAGAATTCGTATTTAATATGAACTTCATTTACCCTTGCTCAACGTTGGATCAGTTTTCTTGAAATTGAAAGAAAAAGCAACACAAAAAAGAAGCAAAAATACTATTCATCAACTTATTTTCTTTGACCAAATTGGTTGCTACTGCAACATCTCCTCCGAGGTCATTTCCTCCACTAGCCAAATTCCTAACTTTGACCCTTGACCAAATGACCTAAAACCTGCTAACCTGAAACCTAAACTTACACTCAATGCGACCCTAACCCTAACCCTATACCCTTTACGAAATAAATCCTGAAGCATTTCTTGCCAGAGCAAATATTTCCAGAGAAAGATATTGGAGCACTTCTAAATTGGCTAACCTAGTCAAGATATTAG